TACCCACCTCCGAGCACTATTCCTTGTCTCCACTCCCTGCCCGCCTTCGAGCACTATTCCTTATCTCCGCCCCCTTCTTCTCACCTCTGAGCACTATTCCTTGTTTCCACCCCTTACCCACCTCTAAGCACTTTTCTTTTCTCTCTACTCCCTACCCCCACCTCCGAGCACTATTCCTTGTCTCCGCCCCCCTACCCACCTCCGAGCACTATTCCTTGTCTATACCTCCTACCCACCTCCGAGCACTATTCCTTGTCTACACCCAGTCCTACCCACCTCCGAGCACTATTCCTTGTCTGCACCCCCTACCCACCTCCGAGCACTATTCCTTCTCTCCACCTCCTCACGAAGCACTATTCCTTGTCTACACCCTCTACCCCACCTCCGAGCACTATTCTTTTCATAAAATTGTGAGACTGCTGGCTCCCCCAGTATCTCTTCATGACCCTATTCTTTGTCTTCCTACCCACCTCCGAGTACTATTCCTTCTCTCCACCTCTGAGCACTATTCCTTGTCTACACCCCCTACCCACCTCCAAGCACTATTCCTTCTCTCCACCCCTACCCACCTACGAGCACTATTCTTTGTCTTCACCCCCTACCCACTCTCCGAGCCCTGTTCCTTGTCTACACCCCCTATCCACCTCTGAGCACTATTCCTTGTATACCCCCCCCTACTTACCTGCAAGCACTATTCCTTGTCTACACCCACTACCCACCTCCGAGCACTAGTCCTTGTCTACACCCCCTACCCACCTCCGAGCACTAACCCTTTCCTTGTCTCCACCCCCTACCCCCCCTCTGAGCACTATTCCTTTTCTCCACCCCCTACCCATCTCTGAGCACTAATTCCTTGTCTCCACCCCCTACCACCTCCGAGCCCTATTCTTTCTTCATCCCCCCTACCCACCTCCGAGCACTATTCCTTGTCTACACCCCCCTACCCACCTCTGAGCACTATTCCTTGTCTACACCCCCTACCCACCTCCGAGCACTATTCCTTGTCTCCACCCCCTACCCCCTCTGAGCACTATCACTTTTTTTGTCTACACCCCCTACCCCCCTCCGAGCACTATTCCTCTTGCCTCCACCCCCCCCACCTCTGAGCACTATTCCTTGTCTACTACCCCCCTACCCACCTCCGAGCACTATTCCTTCTCTTCACCCCCTACCTCCCTCTGAGCACTATTCCCTTGTCTACACCCCCTACCCACCTCCAAGCACTATTCCTTCTCTCCACCCCTACCCACCTCCGAGCACTATTCTTTGTCTTCACCCCCTACCCCACCTCCGAGCATTGTTCCTTGTCTACACCCCCTACCCACCTCCGAGCACTATTCCTTGTCTACCCCCCCTACCACTACTTACTGCAGGCACTATTCCTTGTCACACCCCCCCTACCCACCTCCGAGCACTAGTCCTTGTCTACACCCCCTACCCACCTCCCGAGCACTATTCCTTGTCTACACCCCCTTCCCCCCCCTCTGAGCACTATTCCTTGTCTCCGCCCCCTACCCATCTCTGAGCACTAATTCCTTGTCTCCACCCCCTACCCACCTCCAAGCACTATTCTTTGTCTTCACCCCCCTACCCTACCCTCCCTCCGAGCACTATTCCTTGTCTACACCCCCTACCCACCTCAAGCCACTATTCCTTGTCTACACCCCCTACCCACCTCCGATCACTATTCCTTGTCTCCACCCCCTACCCCCCCTCTGAGCACTATTCCTTGTTTCCACCCCCTACCACATCTCCGAGCACTATCCCTTGTCTCCACCCCCTACCCACCTCCGAGCACTATTCCTTGTCTCCACCCCTACTCACCCACCAAGCACTATTCCTTCTCTCTACCCCCTACCCACCTCCGAGCACTATTTCTTCTCTCTCCACCCCCTACCCCACCTCCTGAGCACTATTCCTTCTCTCTACACCCCCTACCCACCTCGAGCACTATTCCTTCTCTCCACCACCCCCTACCCACCTCCGAGCACTATTCCTTTTGTCTTCACCCCCTACCCACCTCTGAGCACTATTCCTTGTCTACACCCCCCTACCCACCTCTGAGCACTATTCCTTGTCTCCACCCCCTACCCCCCTCTGAGCACTATCCCTTGTTTCCACCCCCTACCCACCTCCGAGCACTATCCCTTGCCTCCACCCCCCCCTACCCACCTCTGAGCACTATTCCTTGTCTACACCCCCTACCCACCTCCGAGCACTATTCCTTCTCTCCACCCCTACCTCCCTCTGAGCACTATTCCTTGTCTACTACACCCCCTACCCACCTCCAAGCACTATTCCTTCTCTCCACCCCTACCCACCTCCGAGCACTATTCTTTGTCTTCACCCCCTACCCACCTCCGAGCACTGTTCCTTGTCTACACCCCCTACCCACCTCCGAGCACTATTCCTTGTCTACCCCCCCCCCCTACTTACCTGCAAGCACTATTCCTTGTCTACACCCCCTACCCCACCTCCGAGCACTAGTCCTTGTCTACACCCCCTACCCACCTCCGAGCACTATTCCTTGTCTACACCCCCTTCCCCCCTCTGAGCACTATTCCTTGTCTCCGCCCCCTACCCATCTCTGAGCACTAATTCCTTGTCTCCACCCCCTACCCACCTCCAAGCACTATTCTTTGTCTTCACCCCCCTACCCACCTCCGAGCACTATTCCTTGTCTACACCCCCTACCCACCTCCGAGCACTATTCCTGTCTACACCCCTACCCACCTCCGATCACTATTCCTTGTCTCCACCCCCTACCCCCCTCTGAGCACTATTCCTTGTTTCCACCCCCTACCCACCTCCGAGCACTATCCCTTGTGTCTCCACCCCCTACCCACCTCCGAGCACTATTCCTTGTCTCCACCCCTACTCACCACCAAGCACTATTCCTTCTCTCTACCCCCTACCCACCTCCAAGCACTATTTCTTCTCTCCACCCCCTACCCATCTCTGAGCACTATTCTTTCTCTCTACCCCCTACCCACCTCCGAGCACTATTCCTTCTCTCCACCCCCCTACCCACCTCTGAGCACTATTCCTTGTTTCCACCCCCTACCCACCTCTGAGCACTCTTCCTTATCTCCACCCTCTACCCACCTCCGAGCACTATTCCTTGTCTACACCCCCCTACCAACCTCTGAGCACTATTTCTTTGTCTCCATCCAACAGCCAGCATCAATAGACACTCCAGCAGTCAACAATAGTAGACCGCTCCCTCAACAGTAGATTCCCCAGCAACAATTGACCACCAGCAACTTAAGACCCAATCTTAGCAACAAGAGATCCCTACCAGCAACAAAAGACCCCCACAAAAATAGATGCCCTCCAGCAACAAAAGATCCCTCTGCAGCCAGCATCAATAGACCCTCCAGCACACCCCAGCACCCCTTGCCATTACATACATTCAGTGCTGAAAAAAAGCCTTGTGGGTATCTATTTTACTTGGTGTAACCCCATCCTTATATTTTACCAAAACATTGGGTATAATATTGTGTTTGTATGAACAATAATTCTTTTTAGGGCTCATGTACACTGGGGTGTTTGGAAAACTCTTCTGAACGATGGAAACTGACTGCTAGAAAACGTAGGTTAAAAAACGTCAGTTTAGCTGCATTTGCATATTGCGTTTATGCGCGTTTGCGTTTAGAAGTGTTTTTAAAAGATAACTTCAGGAGACCTTCCCAAATGCCGAAAATACACTGAAAAATAGTAAATAATTAACTATTTCAGACATTTTGAGAGAAATAGAGAGAGCATAAGCAGAGATATGTGTTGTGATGACCTGTCTTTTCTGGTTGTATTCACTATGGATCCCATCATGAGCATAATGCAGCACGTTCTACCATTGTTTCCTTCACGTGAAACCTGGAACTGACTGCACTGGTGTACCGAGTCCATTTGAATACATGGAAAACGCTGTGCATGCATTTGTGCTAATGAAAAAAGGCTCTGGGCAGCATCTGGATATGGAACAGTTAAAAAAAGCTTCTAAACGCAAATGCTTATAAACGCGGTTAATCTCGTTTACAAGCGTTTGAAATGCTGATAAAACCTACTCATGAACGCAAGTCTGGTGCGTTAAAAAAAAACGCCTGTAAATTCAACTGCCTGTAAGTGTACATGGGCATATAGGAAAACATTAGGGAGAGTTCAGGGGCTGCTGAGAAAAAAACGCTCAATAGCTCCTGAACGTCAGTTTATCAGCTGCAGTGTACATGAATCCTAAGAGTAATTTTTCCTGACGTGTCTGATAAATAGCTGCACAAATAACATGCAAAAAAAATTTGCAACTGCCACTATTTTATTCTCTGAGGTCTCTGCTTTCAGGAAATATGTAATGTTTGGGGGGTTTAGACTCATTCTAAGCAACTAATGCTGGTTATAACGTGTGTGCAGAATATTTAGTAAAAATTGCCCAAAGTGCTCATATTTGTTAGAGGTTTCTGGAAACATTGGCACAGCATCTATCCATTCAGTCATATCCGACCCTTGGCGATTGCATGGACCGTCACTCGTAAGCGACTTTTTCCATGAATTCTCCTCGCAATTATTTTACAGGGTATGTTGGCACAGTATAAGGATGCTTTAAAAAAAAAAATTTCCATAACACAAAACTTGATGGTCCAGAAAACAATCAGAGGCCTTTCCTTTATTCCATGTAATAAATTTGTATGTTTTATTTGCAGGCATACAGAGCACAACAATAAAAGATGATCTAATCTGTGCACAGAGCAAAATCGGAGAATGAAAATGCCATATGGCAGCGAAGCCAGCATTGTACATTTTAGGTCTACGTTTGTGTCTTCTAAATTTCAATGCGTCGGCCATTTTTCTGGAGAGCAATTAATATATTGATCTACGGAAGGCGGCTCAGGTATAATGGCGGGTAATTGGGGACAGTGGGACATGTTCTCACTCCACGCCTGGCAGCAGGTTTCCGGCGTTTGTAGTCATTTCCTCCCGTGTTCTGTGTGTGCTGGCAGCCGGTAGACATGGCGGCGTTTGGAGGTGAGGATTGTATAGTGTCATAGACGTGAATAGGTGTTCTAATGCAGCACTAGTGAGGCTGTCTGCACATCTGCTAGTGAACTACAAGTTCCAGCATGCCCTGACAGCCGAAGTGACATACAGTGTAAGGTCTGTTATAGTCTAATAGACAGATCTGACTTGTGGCACTAAATAGACGAGGATTTTGTGGGCTGTGAGATCCAATTCTTTCCTATGTTGTATAGGATTAATTCCATTCTTTTGTTATATAGGATTCATGCTTCTCATATATTATATATGATTTTTTTTATTGTTTGTAATTTATATACAATCCATTCTTATGTATGATTCATTATATATTCTATACAATTCATTGCACTCATACACTGATCAGCCATAACATTATGACCACTGACAGGTTAAGTGAAGAACATCTTTTTACAATGGCATCTGAAAGTCTGTGGGATATATTAGACAGCAAGTGAACATGTTGTCCCTGAAGTTGATTTGTTGAAAGGAGAAAACGTGGACATCACAGTTCGTTGTGTATGGGGCTGTATAGCCAGAGACTGGTAATGATGTCCACGCTGACCCGTGTCCACAGCAAAAAAGTGTCTCCAATGGGCACGTGAGCATCAGAACTGGACCACGGAGCAATGGAAGAAGATGGCCCGGTCTGATGAATCAGGTTTTCTTTTACATCATGAGGATAACTGGATATGTGGGAATTGCTTACCTGGGGAAGAGATGTCAGAAGGATTCTGTATGAGAAGACGGCAAGTTGACAGAGGCAGTGTGATGCTTTGGGCAAAGTTCTGCTGGGAAACATTGGGTCCTGCCATTTATGTGCATGTTACTTTGACATGGACCACCTACCTAAACATTATTGCTGACCAAGTACACCCCTCCATGGAAAGGTATTCCGTAATGGCAGCAGGATAATGAGCGCTGCCACACTGCAAAAATGGTTTGAGGAACACCGCAATGAATCTGAGGCGTTGATTTGGTTTCCAAATTCTCCAGATCTCAATCCAATTAATTATTTGTCGGATTTGCTGGTAACACAAGTCCAATCCATGGAGGCCACAAATTACAGGACTTAAAGGATAAGTACACCTTTGGGAACATGTTACATATTCTCCTAGGAGCAGGGCCCTCGAACCCCTCGTGTCTTGTATTGTTACTGTATTGTCCCATGTACTGTCCCCCACTATAATGTACAGCGCTGAGCAAACTTTTTGGCGCTATATAAATACTGTATAATAATATTCCACCCGTTTGTAGGGTGGAACATGTAACACATGTCATTCATTCACAGTTCTCTGTGAATGAATGGACTACAGGTCCCCACATCCTTAGCAGCTGTCAGCTTGTAGTTCTTGGTGGCCTACCATGGCACTGTGAGCACTGTGGTAGTTCATTGAGTCTTGCTCATACGGGATGTTTGAGCAAGGAGATACACTAACCGTCTGTAGGAGACCTGCATGGCACCAGCAATCTGCTGAGTCTCCTAAGATAAAAAAAAAATGCATATTTTTTTTACTTGCAAAAAAATGTGCATTTATTTTATGAATGAAGCGGCCGTGTGTATGGAGCTCTGCATGGCCACACTGTTTTTGATAAGTGACCGCTAGAACAGGGAACTTCTCCCAGTACTTCTGTCATAGGGTTGGGGCAGCTGCAGGACTGGAATGTGTCATTTATTCACAGTTCTCACAGGTCCCCACAGCCTTAGCGGCTGTCAGCTTGTAGTTCTCAGTGACCTACCATAGCATTGTGAACACTGTGGTAGTTCATTGAGTCTTTCTGTTAAAAGTATCGGCTTGCTCATACGGGATGTTTGAGCAAGCAGATACACTGACAGTCCGTAGGAGACCTGCATGGCACCTGCGATCTGCTGAGTCTACTAAGATAAAAAATGCACATTTTTTTACCTGCAAAAAAAATGTGCTTTTATGTCATGGAAAGGTGAACTTATCCTTTAAAGGATCTGCTACTGATGGCTTGGTACTAGATACTGCAGCATAACTTCACAGGTCTAGTGGAGTCCATGTCTCAATGGATAACGGCTGTTTGGTAGCAAAATGGGGAATTTGCTCAATATTATGTGAGTGGCCATAATGTTCTGGCTGATCAGTGTATGATATATATGATTTGTCCATTCGTATATATTATATAGGATTCATTCCTCTCTTATATCTAGTGTACAATTCATTCTGCCCTTTTATATCGTATACAGTCAATTCCTCTCTTATATAAGATTCATTCCACTTATATATCATATATGATTTATTCCACTCATGTATACAATTCAGTCCACTCATATATAGTTAAAAGTGAAGTATGGGATTTTTTTTTTTATCAACCTTATCTAGGTGGATGCAGCATCGGTCCCCGGCCGGTTCGAAGTGTGAGAACCTTGTGATCACATGACCGTTAGTCTCTGAGTTCTCACAGCTTCTCTGAGCAGAGAGTGGTGACTGTCATGATTTCTCTGCTTCCCCCACCCCGTGCATTCACTATAGTGCTGGGCTGTGGAGGGGTAGTGAGCAAATGGCTCAGGTTCTCAGCAGCTCACTGAGAGGCTAAGCCAGGTGCCGCTCACGGTGTTTCCCCTTCCTGGACTGGCTGAGTGGCGTCAGCTGAACACTGGTCACAGGAGTGCAGAAGGAACTGCACTCCTGTGATCCAAAAAAGTACAACCAAAAGAACTTTCGCTGTACTTCTCCTTTAATTCCACTCTTATGTATTATATAGGATTCATTCCACTCCTATATATAGTACACAATTAATTCCGCTGTTATGTGTACGGTTCATTCCATTCCTATATATTATATAGGATTTGTTCCACTAAGGCTGGCCATACACTATACAATTTTCTTTAGAAAATTGCTTTACATTTACCAAAAACCATATAATATGAGGTCAAACCTAAACAACACTTTCAATTGTATCCAATTAGGCAGGCTCTTGCACTACACAGTTGAAGGTAAATCTAAAGAAAATTGGGCAGAAATTGCACAGAAAATTCTATAGTGTATGGCCAGCCTAATATATTCATTCCATCTGTTAACTAGCACATTTAAAATGTCACCTCTTGGTGAAAACCGTAGGTATGCTTCTGGCACCATTCAAGTATGACAGCAGACAAAACCTCTTGGTGATTTTGAGTACTGAAGTTGGTAGCTGATTCATGGGCACACACAATTTTACGCCTTGACACGTTTAGCATCTATTTACTCAATGTACATCATCTTTGATCTTATGAAAAAATCTAGGATATATATTCTTGGCAATTAATTCATAAAGGTTGACTGTGACATGCTTTAGAATTCCATCATCCACAGCATCAAATAGTGCGGGCGACAGTCTCACTTACGTGTTGGAAAATACATGAATTTGGGGCAAACATTGTGTGTGGAAGTATGCTGAGGCAAGAAAAAAAATGTTTTTGGACTATTTCAGAAGGATGCTCTAATCTGTTCGGGTTACTGTGTATAATAAACTGTCTTCTATTTACAGAAATGGGTGTGATGTCGGAGATTGCTCAGGCCGTGGAGGAGATGGACTGGCTGTAAGTTGTACATCCACAAGTATAGAAAATGTTGAGAATAGTGAATGGATGTCATTTTACACTCACTGGGACAGAGATTGAAGCTCTACCCCAGGGGTCGGCAACCCCCAGCACGCATGCCAGATATGCCACGTGGCTGCATTAATGATAGCACGTGAGGGCGGCTTGGGACAACCTGCACATTGGGAAAAACCGGTTGGCCGGTGCTGCTTGCTGTGGCTGTACAGAAGGGACAAGAGGAAGCCCCGCTAGCGCTTTCCCACCTCATTCCTATCCACCCCAGTCTTCATTCCTGCCCACCTCATTTGGCTTGCCCTCATTTAGCCAACAGTAGCTGGAGCTCAGCCAGACCTAAGGTATTCTATGCCCCTCCCCCCCATGTTGGATGCTGTGTCTGGCCCACTCTTCTGCTCCTTTATCCCTGCACAGGGCACACAGCACTTAGCTGAAATTGTATCTTTTACAGACAAAATCTCCATCTGGACAGTATATAACTGCTACAGTATGTTGCTGTTCTGACCTGTGAAATCTCCCGATTGGAACAGTAGCAAAGCTGCAGTAGTAAGCTATACATTGTGCCGATAAAGGCTATGTCTGTAAAATAATCTGATCTCAGCTATGTGCTGTGTGGGGAGGAGGAGTTGTGCTGTGTGCCCTGTCAGCACTGACCCCTGTACACTGCCTCTCTGGCCACTGCCCCGCTGACCCCTGTATACTGCCCCCTTGACCCCAGTCCTCTAACCCCAGTACACTGCCTCGTTGACTCCTGTCCTCTGCCCTGCTAACCCCAGTCCTCGGACCCCTGTACACTGCCCCACTGGCCAGTCCTCCCCTGACCCCTGTACTGTGCCCCTAGTACTCTTCCCCACTGGCCACTGCCCTGCTTACTCCTGTCTTCTTCCCTGCTTATCTCTGTCCGTTGCACTAATAAACCATATTAGCTATTGGGAACTACTAATTTACAGTAATTGGAGATGTGAAGGTGCGGGGACTGGGATGATCTGAGGTGTGAAGGAGTAGGAATTTGCCTGGTGTGGGAGTGCAGGAATTGGGGTGATCCGAGGTGTGAAGGTGCAGAAATTGGGGCTGATCTGATATGTTTAGGTGCAGGACTTGGGGTGATCTGATATGTGTAGGTGCAGGACTTGGGGTGATCTGATATGTGTAGGTGCAGGACTTGGGGTGATCTGATATGTGTAGGTGCAGGACTTGGGGTGATCTGATATGTGTAGGTGCAGGACTTGGGGTGATCTGATATGTGTAGGTGCAGGACTTGGGGTGATCTGATATGTGTAGGTGCAGGACTTGGGGTGATCTGATATGTGTAGGTGCAGGACTTGGGGTGATCTGATATGTGTAGGTGCAGGACTTGGGGTGATCTGATGTGTAGGTGCAGGACTTGGGGTGATCTGATATGTGTAGGTGCAGTACTTGGGGTGATCTGAGGTATGAAGGTGCAGGAATAGGGGCTTATCTGAGGTATGAAGGTGCAGGAACTGGAGTGAAATGATAGTTAAAGATATAGTATTTGGTGTGATCTGAGGTGTGAAGGTGCAAGCATTAGGGCTTTGTTTAAGATCTGAAGGTGCAGAAATCAGGGTGATCTTCAGTGTAAAGATGCAGGAATTGAGGTGATCTGAGATGTGAAGGTGCGGGAATGGGGCTGATCCGAGGGGAGAAGGTGCGGGACCGGGGCTGATCCGAGGGGAGAAGGTGCGGGACCGGGGCTGATCCGAGGGGAGAAGGTGCGGGACCGGGGCTGATCCGAGGGGAGAAGGTGCGGGACCGGGGCTGATCCGAGGGGAGAAGGTGCGAGACCGGGGCTGATCCGAGGGGAGAAGGTGCGAGACCGGGGCTGATCCCGAGGGGAGAAGGTGCGGGACTCGGGGCTGATCCCGAGGGGAGAAGGTGCGGGACTCGGGGCTGATCCCGAGGGGAGAAGGTGCGGGACTCGGGGCTGATCCCGAGGGGAGAAGGTGCGGGACTCGGGGCTGATCCCGAGGGGAGAAGGTGCGGGACTCGGGGCTGATCCCGAGGGGAGAAGGTGCGGGACTCGGGGCTGATCCCGAGGGGAGAAGGTGCGGGACTCGGGGCTGATCCCGAGGGGAGAAGGTGCGGGACTCGAGGGCTGATCCCGAGGGGAGAAGGTGCGGGAATCGGGGCTGATCCCGAGGGGAGAAGGTGCGGGAATCGGGGCTGATCGCGAGGGGAGAAGGTGCGGGAATCGGGGCTGATCGCGAGGGGAGAAGGTGCGGGAATCGGGGCTGATCGCGAGGGGAGAAGGTGCGGGAATCGGGGCTGATCGCGAGGGGAGAAGGTGCGGGAATCGGGGCTGATCGCGAGGGGAGAAGGTGCGGGAATCGGGGCTGATCGCGAGGGGAGAAGGTGCGGGAATCGGGGCTGATCGCGAGGGGAGAAGGTGCGGGAATCGGGGCTGATCGCGAGGGGAGAAGGTGCGGGAATCGGGGCTGATCGCGAGGGGAGAAGGTGCGGGAATCGGGGCTGATCGCGAGGGGAGAAGGTGCGGGAATCGGGGCTGAACGCGAGGGGAGAAGGTGCGGGAATCGGGGCTGATCGCGAGGGGAGAAGGTGCGGGAATCGGGGCTGATCGCGAGGGGAGAAGGTGCGGGAATCGGGGCTGATCGCGAGGGGAGAAGGTGCGGGAATCGGGGCTGATCGCGAGGGGAGAAGGTGCGGGAATCGGGGCTGATCCCGAGGGGAGAAGGTGCGGGAATCGGGGCTGATCGCGAGGGGAGAAGGTGCGGGAATCGGGGCTGATCGCGAGGGGAGAAGGTGCGGGAATCGGGGCTGATCGCGAGGGGAGAAGGTGCGGGAATCGGGGCTGATCGCGAGGGGAGAAGGTGCGGGAATCGGGGCTGATCGCGAGGGGAGAAGGTGCGGGAATCGGGGCTGATCGCGAGGGGAGAAGGTGCGGGAATCGGGGCTGATCGCGAGGGGAGAAGGTGCGGGAATCTGATGGTGTAGGAATTGGGGTGATCTGGTATTTTTTTTTACCAAAGACATGTAGCAGAATACATTTTGGCCTAAATTTATGAAGTTATGTATTTGTGTGTATATATATATATGTATGTGTGTGTATATATATGTGTGTGTGTGTGTATATATATATTTATTTTTTTATTTATTTTTTCAGAAAGTAGAAAATATTGTGTTGTTGTGGTAATTTATTTTTTGTTGTTTATATAATAAAAAATAAACCCAGTGGTGATCAAATACCACTAGAAGAAAGCTCTATTTGTGTGAAAAATGATAAAAATGTAATTTGGGTAGAGTGTTGCATGACCGAGTAATTGCCAGTTAAAGTAGGCATAAAATGCTATGATCATGAAGGGTGTAACATTTTTCAGAGGTCAAGTGGTTAAAGGATAAGTTCATCTTTTAGGAAATAATAATAATTGCACATATTTTTGCAGGAAAAAAATGTGCATTTAATATTTGTTTCCCTAATGAGCCTGGAAAGCACTGCACCTGAGATTAGTGGATCAGGGGTGCAATGTCAGGCTCCTGCAGGTGAGCCCTGCAGCTTTCAGCCTGTACCTTCATACGAGCTGACTGTTTATAAGCTGCAGGGCTTGTGAATAAACTACAAGGCTGCTCATCAGCGACCTCACAGTTCATTCAGAACTACAAGCTGTCAGCCGCAATGGTGGCTGTAGTTCCTGCATTCATTGGAAACTGTGAATGAATGATAGTCCGTGTGGGCGGAGTTATGTTAACAATCCCAGCCTTTGTAGTTTTATAGTCTCACTGCATGTTCCAGTAGATTAAAGGGCTTTATCAGTTGATAAACTACGGAATTTTAGTTTAAATGTCTTCTTCTTTTTTTTTTGTCAGTTAAGTATTACACTTTTTCCTTTTTCATACCTGCTACATGACTATGGAGTTATAGTTTTATGACATTCTTTAGCTAAAATTGATTCCAAAATGGTGCTGTTTTATTCTTGTTAAAACACCAGTTCTGTTTTACTGTACAGCCTTCCTACTGACATTCAAGCGGAGTCTATACCACTGATTCTAGGCGGCGGTGATGTACTTATGGTAAGTTTAGCCTCATATAAGGCAGAAAACCCCTGACCAGTAATAAAGTCTGTGTGGCTAAACATTGTGCTTAGTTTTTGTTGTGACATTATTTTTTCATTTCAATGATTTCATTATAATAATTTAAAGTCAACATAAGATAAAGCTGAACTCATTAGCGCTAAGGTCATATCTTACCTTTCAGCAATTTCTTTATTATGTTTTACAATGCAGGTATTCAGCCACTGAGAAATCCCCACTTAAATAAGTCAGTAGTGCTCTGTCCCCTTACTTTTTCTTTATTAAGACCAGTGGCTGCTTTGTCTGCTTTTCCTTCAGCCACCAGTTTCAGAACATTTTCTATGGTTTAATTTTAGTCAGCCAAGAAATAGTTACGTTGCCACTCACTTTAGTGGGAGGACCCTGGAGTCTCATACACTACCTGCCCTATGCACTTTCTCTGCGTAACTGGGCAGTGATGTGACATTGCTAGGCAGTCTTGTGCTTATAAACTCTATATCTGCAGTGTGAGATCAAGAACATGTCCCTCCTGCTCCTTCCTCCAAGCAATGCTACTCATTTGAAAATGTCACTGCTCACTGTTCTTATGTGGGCCTGCCGGAGGGGAAGCTGTACCTGAGGATCTGCATTGAAGGGACTTCCCTACTGTGGATCTGTGCTTCTTTCATTTGCTTCTTGATCATTCCTCCCACCAGTCATCGGGGGGCAGGTCTGACATGAAAAAACAAAGCCCTTCTCCTTTACCAAGATGGTCACCTTTATAAAGAGACACAGCAGGAGACCAAACCTGGTAAATCAGAAGTGCAAGACTATCAGCTGCAAGAAGGCTACAGAAAGCGCTGATGACTAGTCCTTTTCCTTTGCTTGACTTTTTTTTCCCATGGTTTTCACTGTGTAAAGTGTTTGTGAATCACTACATACTGTATGTCCACCGACGTGACAAGCCTCATGTGATACACAGAGATTAAACAAATCCTCCCCCGCATAGGTTGTACCTGTTTTTCTGCGGCCCTCTGAGTCTCCAGCAAGCAAGTGTCTTCTAGAGATTGTCTTTCCCCCTGATTTAATGACATTGGAACACACCCATCTGATTGGTGTCAAAAGGAAAAAAAGGCCACTGCTTAGTTACCTCCATTTCCTAGCATGTGATTGATCACTGAGGAAGCAGCAATGCATTCTCTACTCTTCTGTAGGCATTTTCAGTGTAGGACTTACAAGCATTCTGTAGAGTGCTGCCCTTTCCTCTATCCTTAAGTGATGTTATACAGGGGATTACAGGGGGCTGATATCTGTACTGCAAGATTCATTTCATTCATTTGTTGTTTTTGAATAAAATAAATAACTAGATTTTGTGTGTTTTTTTATATTGCTATTTGAGCATGGCTTTAAAGATCAGCTTCTTCTAAAACTAGTATGTTGTGTTTGGGCACTGAATTACCCACTTGCTCTTTATATACAATATCTTGGAGACTTCAGTAGGGAGGCTTTCATACAATAGCTTGTGCTCTTGTCCCCTCCAAACAAAGACACTACAATGATGTCCTGCAGGATTCCTGTCCTATCCAGTGTTCTGGAGAATCATTTGGAAAACAACATTACCTTATTTAATGGCTGTGACATTGGAGTGGAAGTGGGAATTCTGGGGGATGTAATTGATCTTAAAGATGATTTGGTTTAATGTTGGATCTAAAATATTAATGGCTTTAATTTATGTTTGTTACAGGCTGCTGAGACTGGAAGTGGCAAGACAGGGGTACGTGTATTTGATGTTGGTTTTGCTTACAGTATATTTCCTCCACTGCATGATATAACAGCATGTATCAAGAAGGTTGAGCACAGTGACAACAGGATGGTCAGTGGTACATCATGACTACCCTGGACAAGAAGCGCTCTCCCTGCTGGGCCCAGTTTGCAGGAAAAAACGTATTGCATTAGATCTACACCTGCCCGACTCCATCCAAGATGGAAATTTTTATGTCTGTAGGAATGATCTTCAATTGTGAATTTTTATATTTTGCTGTATTTTCTTGTCAAGTTCTATTATTTATTTATTTATTTTTATTTTTTTTGTTTTGTTTTGTTTTAGGCTTTTAGTATCCCTGTCATTCAGATTGTGTATGAAACCTTGAAAGATCATCAGGAAGGCAAGAAAGGAAAGGCTGCAGTTAAGACTGGCAGCTCAGGTAATTCTACATGATTTACCAGCAGTTCATCATCTGTTCATATTTTAGCAGTATGTTCCAGATTAAGCAAAGTAAAAAGGATGAAAGCTGAATTCTACGAATACAGAAACTTTGTTAAAAGTGCAGGCACACCATGAGTTAAGTCCCAATAGCTGCCTGCCACATTGGCTTATCTCTATTATTTATATACAACAGGTTTATGGCTTTGCCAGAGGATACAATTAGCATGGAGTCTGTAAGAGAGAAGAAGAGCACAAAGAGCAACTATGCCCACCTCTCCCCTCTTCTGCCCATTCACAGAAGCCTTTGTAATTTGTGAATGAGTTCACGCAATACAAAGGCTTCTGTGATAGGGCAGAACTAATAGCTGCCCTGACTCTACACTTGAAGTGGCTGAGCCCAGCTAGCGGTTCTGGAAGGTGTTCTTTCTGAACCACAGTAAACCTGCCAGATATACACAGAGGTAAGCCCAAGAGATGGTAGACACCCTGTTAGACTTAACTCATAGAGTGCCTTCAATTTTTGCAAAGTTGCAGAATTCCTGGAATTCAGCTTTAAAGCTCTGTTTATCCAAGAATCCGAATATTCATTCTCAGTCTTGAATTGCTATAAGGGATCATGCACACAGTTGCTAGGGGGGAATGCTCAGTGTGCAAGAGTGTACAAAACCTTGTTAAAACCTTCACTTGGACCAATAGTGGCAGCATATAGCTGCCAATAGGAACTCAAGGCTTCAAGGGTTGCATGCCCATGTGCATGAGTATGCAAGTTCTAGCATATCCCTGCATACATCAAAATCCTGTAATTGCTTTGTATATTCGCTTGCATGCTGCAGCTGTGGCTCCTGGAGAATTTTCTACTCAGGTTCCTTTTCAGTTTAACAGGCTCCCTTGCTGCTGTGTGCTTGAGCCCTAAGAAGAGATGTAGATGGTCAAATGCACCATTCTCTTAAGTGCATCTAGCTTTCATTTCAGATCAGTTTGAGATGTTTCTTAGATTAGAGTTTCTTCACAGTTGAATTTGACATTTTGACCAACATTTGACCTTCTAAGTGGTGTCAAGTTGCTTCAAGCTGCTTTTGCATTTCTGTTGACATCTGTTAAGAAAATCTGTTCTGATGCAAACACAAACCCATTGATACAAGCCTTAGTCCTAGGATTTTCAGCAGTTCCCCTGTATTAAAACAGCACCCTACGTTTTAAGTATTTAATTTTCAATAAGTAGTGTATTATTATATAAAACTGTACTTTTTTTTTTTTTATAGTGATGAATAAATGGCAGATGAATCCATATGACAGAGGCTCTGCCTTTGGTAAGTATTTTATCATTTGCTTAGAATTACTGTCTAAAAGGCAGTCAGGAAGGTACTAAGGGACTTTATTGGTGCTCTAGCCCCAAAGTAACACAAACCTGCAGCAATAAAGAGAAAAAAAAATTAATCAGTTCAACCTGACGTAATTGTATTTAAGATCAATGCACACAGATTTAAAAATACACACACACACAAAAATGTATAGTACACTCAAATTCTCCGGAAGGGTATAAAGTGTTTATCAAGCTTCGGGCATTTGTTTCTTGGGCTGGGTAAGGAGAGGAGTTTAGGTGAAAAATGTGCATGTTGTGTGTTTACAGTCTCTCACGTTCAAGTCTATGTGGCTAGAAATACCTAATTACGCCATAGAAAAAAAGGAAAGCTTATGAAGCATGCGACGTACAGTGTATAAGTGATTGAGCATTGAAATTTAAACAGGCACAATTCTGCATCCCTAGCTAAAAGTTTTGAGAATGACACAAATATACTTTTTTCACAAAGTCTACTGCTTTAGTGTTTTTAGATCCTTTTTGTCAGATGGTACTATGGTATACTGAAGTATAATTAGAAGCTTTTCATAAGTGTCAAAGGCTTTTATTGACCAGTACATTAAGTTTATGCAGAGTCAATATTTGCAGTGTTGACCCTTCTTTTTCAAGACCTCTGCAATTTGCCCTGACATGCTGTCAATCAACTTCTGGGCCACATCCTGACTGATGGCAGCCCATTCTTGCATAATCAGTGCTTGAAGTTTGTCAGAATCTGTGGGGGTTTTATTGTTTGCCCACCTCTTGACGATTGACCACAAGTTCTCAATGGGATTAAGGTCCAGGGAGTTTCCTGGCCATGGACCCAGGTGAAAGGTGCTCCATCATGCTGGAAAAGGCATTGTTTATCACCAAACTGTTCTTGGATGGTTGGGAGAAGGTGCTCTCGGAGGATGTTTTTTGTATCATTCTTCATTCATGGTTGTGTTCTTGGGCAAAATTATGACTGAGCCCACTCCCTTGGCTGAGCAGCAAACCCAGACATGAATGGTCTCAGGATGCTTTACTGTTGGAATGACACAGGACTGATGGTAGTGCTAACCTTTTCTTCTCTGGACAAGGTTATTTCTGGATGCCCCAAACAATTGGAAAGGTAATTCATCAGAGAAAATAACTTTACCCCAGTCTTCAGCAGTCCAATCCCTGTATCTTTTGCAGAATATCAGTCTGTCCCTGAGTTTTTCCTGGAGAGAAGTGGCTTCTTTGCTTCCCTTCTTGACACCAGGCCATCCTCCAAAAGTCTTCGTCTCACTGTGCATGCAGATGTACTCACTCCTGCCTGCTGCCATTCCTGAACAAGCTCTGCGCTGGTGGTGCCCCAACCCTGAAGCTGAATCAACTTTAGAAGATGGTCCTGGCAATTGCTGTACTTTCTTGGACGCCCTGAAGCTTCTTCACAACAAATGAACCACTCTCCTTGAAGTTCTTGATGATCTGATAAATGGTTGATTTAGGTGCAATCTTAGTAGCAGCAATATCCTTGCCTGTGAGTCCCTTTTTGTGCAAAGTAATGATGACTGCACATGTTTCCTTGCAGGTAAATTAATATTTGTGTAATTCTCAAAACTTTTGGCCAGGGCTGTATAATCAGGTGTAGGGAAACAGGACAAAACATGCCACTGGCGGCTTCTGTTTGTGTAGTGTAATTATTTGGATTAAGGGACTATTTATATTACGTGGGGGTTTTGTTTTTTTTTTGTTATTTTTAACATGATTGTGCAAAAAGAAGCTATTCACGCTGCTGTTTTACTTCCCCTTAAGAGTTCTTACTGCATTATATATGAGGTGGAGAAGCTGCACAGATAACATTTATTCGGAAGTCTGCAGTCCCTCCTGGATGGACTTTTAAAGCTCTGTTTAGTTTTGCAATAAGCAATTTATCGAAAGAAAAGGGTACTCGTTATGATGGAAATATAATAGTTTCTATTGCAGCCTTGGTTTTAAAAACCACTGTGCTGTAGGCTCCATCCTCTGGCTTCAATGTTTGGTGAGTCAGAATGAATGCCACAGGATTATGGAACAGAAGAAGTATCTTATCAGGCCATTTTTTGTAGAGCTTGCGTTTCTCTTTAAAGTAAAAGTTATCTGAGTAGCTATATAGCTGCTGGATCATTTTTAAAGGTGGCGAAGGTGGGTACCCATCCCGCTGACGCCCACCACTTTTCCAGAGGATTTTGGCACTTCCAGTTTCGGTTTTTTTTTGTTTTTAAAAGCTGTTACTGGCTTGTAAAGCTGCCATTCAAATAGAGAACAGAGGAGAGATCTTTCCAAAAAGATGACTTGTCATGGCCCATGCTCTCACAAGGAATGTTGTGCGTACTTTGTGATGGCAATAACGTTGATTTAAAAAAAAAGAAAAGGTACAGTGTAGGAAAAAAAAATTAAAACAAATATTAAAATTAAAGAAAAATATTTTAAAGTGCCCCCTCTCCCCCCGTTCTAATGCACATGCACGTAGATCCCTCATGTAACTGTCAGTCGCATGACATTAAAAACAAATAAAAAATCAACACCCACCATTTTATTCTCTAGGGCCTCTGTAAAATATATTTTGGGGGTTCTACATAACTTACTAGCAAAACCATGCACATTTTTACACCGTATGAGAGAAAAAATGTCAGAATAAGCCCAGTTTTGCAGCGGATGAGCATGCAGCCAATTAAGTCATATCAGATGACCTGCATATTTGTCTGAAACAGCAGCCAACTAAATATTGAACCTTGAGAATCTACAGGTTTTTAAATTAAATGGCAGTAGCAGCTCACATGATGATGGGTACATAAAAAAAAACAAACACAACAAACCTGTATGGACATTCTGACCAGTCGCAGTTTTCCTGGAAGGAATTGGCAGTTAACTAGTTCTTATGCTGTCCGAAGTTGCTTTTTTAATGTTTTTGTTTGTTTTTTTCTTATACAGCTATCGGTTCTGATGGACTTTGTTGTCAGAGCAGAGAAATGAAGGAGTGGCATGGATGTAGGTCAACCCGTGGAGTTAGCAAAGGTAAATGGAGCTAAAGAGCATTCTGATTTTTACCAATAAAATGACTGGCACTGGAGATTTCATTTAACATGGCTAAAGTATATCTAAGCCCAAAAACAAAAATGTAATAGATGTTGGCTTATAGATAAATTTATTTATATATATATAAATCTTTAGATTTAGGGGCTGCATGAATTTTTTTTTGGGGGGGGGGGGGGGGGGGGGGGGTTGTGTTTTGTTTTTTTTTTCCTGGCAATTCTGCTAGTAACTCACTTCTTGCCTTAGAATGAAAACCCTCACTTGCCATACTGTATCTTTTGAAGGATGTAACACACTAAAAGTTCATTGATAGGGTTTACATACACTTTTCCATATCCTGTCCATGGGTCTCCTCTGTGAATAGTAATGCAAGAAGAACTAGAGGTTGCAAATGAATCCGATGATAGCAACCACTATTGTACTGTTAATCAGTGGGAGCAAGCTAACTAGGTTTAGGAACTTACACTTCCTTTATGCTGTAACAAAGGTTGAACACACTTTTAGCCTTCAGTATTGAATATTGTACTGTATGCTTTTGTGTTTAAACATACAGTATGCTCTATATAGATTTATGTATGATGTTTTTAGAGATGAAATTATCTCGGTTTTCACTTATTAGAGACACCGCCAATGGTGCTAAAATAAAATGTACCTAAAGGGTAACTGTAGTTCTAAACAATATCCCATTTGCCATTTTTAACTTTTGCTTATTAAAGCCGAACTTCACCCTCTCAGTCAACACTATTTTTTGATCCTTATGCTGCTAGCATTCATGAATAGATAGGAAAGTGTATCATATTTACTTATTTTAAATTTTTTACATTTCTTCAGTTTCTTCCTTGTTTCCAGGCCTAGGCAAATAAAGTCATACATCCCAGGGGTTTTCTTATGCTAAGCACTCCCTCCTGCCTGCATGCCTGAGCTAAGAGCAGATGGATTCCTGGAAGTAAATGCTAAATGAATCTTTAACCCTTACTCAAGGTGGCCATAGCCAGAAATGCTAGGGGGTGTTTTTCAAAGTGATTTATCAGCAAAATACAGCAGGGAGACCTGTATGGATGGGAGAGTTTGTTTTGAATATTAACCACTTCCAGTCCGGACACTTTTTTCCCCCCCTTCCTGTCCAGGCTAATTTTCAGCTTTCAGTGCTATCACACTTTGAATGACAATTGCGCAGTCATGCAACACTGTACCCATATGAATTTTTTATCATTTTTTGAGACAGATAAAACTTTATTTTGGTGGTATTTATTCACCACTGGGATTTTTATTTTTTTTTTTTGCTATATAAATAAAAAAGTCCAAACATTTTGGAAAAAAGTGTTTCTTATAAAATTTTGCATATAATCTTTCTTCATAAATCTTGGCAAAAATGTATTCGGTTATCTTTTTAGTAAAAAAAAAAAAAAAACCCAAATTAGTTTATAACCACAAATTATAATGCAAAATTTTTTGTTTTACTTTTTTATTTTTTTATATTTTTATTTATTTTTTTGTAACATATTGTCTCCCTAGCAGTACAGTGTCACCATAGTGACACTGTACTACTTGTGGGGGGAGATTAAGATTTTTTTTTTTTTTTTACACTGATTGCTTTTACACCCATAAAGGCTGTAAAAGCAATCATTTTTCCTTCTCTCTGACTGCATTCTTGCAGCCATTGAGAAATACCGTGAGAGCTGTGGTTGGTCACAGCTTGTCACATGGTACAAGGCTGTTGTGAATAGCCTTGTACCATGTGACCTCTGTGATCATTCACAGATTTCACACGTAGTAAGCAATGATGTCAGGAAGTGACATCTTGCTTACTACTATTCATGTGATCACTGATTGGCCAGTCAGTGATCACATGATCGGGACCTCACACAGAGGTCCCGTACAGCGATCGGTGTTCCACTGTGACCGGAGGACACAGAGGGCACCGGATCACAGTGCTGCGTGCTCCCAGGGAGCTCGCACACCCTGAAAATGAGGGCGCCGTTTATGAACGGCAACCCGCTCCTGCACTGCTCCCATCCAGCTCCCATTTATGTACATGGGCCGGACGGGAAGCAGTTAAAAATGAATTGGTGTTTTTGGTTTGTGATGCTCAGATGCAGTGAATTTCAGCTTCAAATCAGTAAGGAAATTACAGTTCTGAATGCAGTCAGGCCACTTCCATTGCTTGCAAGGGGCCAAGCTGTGCGTGCATCTCTCAGTTCTTCTGAAATGATAGGCATGCTGCGGGCCTGGATGTAAACAATCTATCTGTAAGTCTGCACATTCATGTTAAACGGCCATTTTTCTCTGTGGTCAGGCCTCTGCTTTTATAGGATTCCCAATGTTTTATCAGTTCCCTACTTTAACTGATACTCAAAAACTTTGGCACTTTAAGAAAATATTGTGCCGCATTGATAAAGAAGTTAATTTAATAGGACACTGATCCTGAAATTTTAACTTAGGCTTTTAACTGTTCTATGGAGTCTAATACTTGTCATCCTTATGTTTTACAGGAAAGTATTACTATGAAGTGTCCTGTCATGATCAGGGTTTGTGTCGAGTTGGTTGGTCTACACTTCAGGCATCATTAGATCTTGGTAAGTGTGCTATGTACCATGGAAACGGAATGATACCTTACAAGATTGGCAAAGTTCACCCAAACTGGCAATAATATGTTAGTTGTGCTGAAGTGTAGGGCTATTAAACCGTATTTAAGTGAAATGTGTCACCCCGCTCAGTGCTCAAGGGAGGCTTACCGGATAAATTTGACAATCATGTTATAGAATGGTCAAATTGTGCACAGATATAATCCTAAGGCAACCGCTCCAGTCTCCTCTACAGCCTCCAACCATGGGTCAAATGGCATTCACCCACTCAGCTTTTCTCTCCATTTTACGAGCGCGAGGAAAAATGGCAGTGACCACAGGAGAGAAAAGCTGAGTGGGTGAATGCCATTTGACCCATGGTTGGAGGCTGGAGCAGTTGCCTTAGGATTATATATGTGCACAATTTGACAATTCTATAAAATGATGGTCATATTTATCCGGTAAGCCTTCCTTGAGCACTGAGTGAGGTGACACGTGTTTCACTTGAATACAGTTGATCATCTAAATAATTGAAGATTTGTGATTGCACTCGGGTCATTTTTTTTAGTGTCCTTTAACACTGGGATTTTTGTATTCACTTTCACAATATTTTTTTATAGTATTTGTCATTCATATCATTTGTACTCTGTATTTGCACTTTTAGCACCGCACTTTTATAAGTAATCGTAATGTGCCAAGGTTTCTTTTTTTGATAACTGTTCAATCTGTGAATGTCTGTACACCTTTACAACAAAACTTGTGGTCAAACAAGAGAATGAAGTGGTTTTATTTAGCTGGAATTTTGTTTATTGTACCATGTATAGTCTGAATGCTGCAATCCTTGAAGTGCGTTATGCAAAGTCCTTGATGTCTATAAAACAACCAATCAGCAGTTTTCTGCAGCTAAAAGTGGCAAAACAAAACCCTATATTCACATGTTATTTATTATTTCTTTAGATAAATGTTATATTTTTATCCAATATATTTATTCATTAAGTTCTCATTTCTTTTCATCCAGAGGAAAAACTAATATTGACTTCTTTCTTTAGGAACGGACAAGTTTGGCTTTGGGTTTGGAGGAACAGGAAAGAAGTCTCACAACAAGCAGTTTGATAATTATGGGGAGGTAATCCATTCTCTTTGTTTGCTGTGGGGACATATAGGGGGAGATTTACTAAAGTGGGTACATACAGAATCTGGTGCAGCTGTGCAAAATAACCAACCAGCTTCCGGATTTCATTGTCAAAGCTTAAAGTGATACTATACACACAGTTTTTTCTGTGTGTGGATGATGGCACTGTAATTATTTTAATAAAAAAAAAAAATCTGCCTTTTTCCTAATTGATATACAGCTGTCACATGACCCAGCTCTATCCCAGCCTGTCGGTAGGTGGCAGGCAGTAGTGGGAGGAGCATCTAGTCCTCTTCTGCTGGTCATATGTTCAAAAAGAAAGAAAGGAAAAACAGCCTTTGGAATACAGTACAGAGTAAAAATAAACTCAAACTGTTTTAATTCGTCATACAAATATATGTTTGAAATCAAATCTTTATTATATTTTGGGGGCAATAACATGGTGTAGGCAGATTTCTGCCAGTCACAGGCTGTGTCAAACCCCTCCAGCCTGTGTTTTGGAGTAACAGGGATGTAATATCCCACCCTTATTGTGTTTAGCTGGATAGAGAGCATGGAGCAGAAGGGAGGGAGTGGGCTGTCATTTACCACTGTGTATATGCCCACATGTGTGACTCTCTATAGTGAGATTGGCTGCTCAGATGTGATAGGCAGGAAATTTGGCAGCAGATAAAGTTCCTCTCTTTTTTTTCTGGAGGATATGTGCATATTATGGACAAACGTGGGGTATCAGAGCTACGGTGTTTCCTGGCAGCATGTGACCCGTTTGTTCTGGGTACTCTTTACTTTGTGAGCAGCCAAGTGCCTAGGCGCTCAGCACACAGCCAGTGCTTGTCTCCAGTGCTGTCATGAGCCTAGGAAACAATTGAGTCAAAGGGTCTATGAGCATATAGGAGTGTACTAAGATACAGCCACAAATACAAGTGTATGCAAACTATGAGACGGAGTGAGTGATTAGCCCATGGACTATACATAAACAACGGTCACTAGGAAGTATGCTGCTGCCTGCCATGGAGAGGAAACTCCATCTGTACAATAAAAAAAAAGAGGTGGGGGAGATACAGTGCAAATACTACTGTAGTTTTAAAAGCTTAAAAGAGAAGTATGGGGTTTTTAAAATAAAAAATGTTATACTCACCTAGGTGGATGCAGCATTGATCCCCCACCACCTCTGCACAGAGAACTGAGCAATCAAACACTGCTGATCTCTCAGTTCTCCCCTCTGCTCTGAGCAAAGAGCAGTAACTGTCAGTTATTGGCTCTCTGCTCTTCCAGTGCTCACTGGAGCATTGGGCTGTGAAGAGGTTGAGAGGAGCTGGCTGAGGCTCTAGGAAGGTGGATCACTGAGAGGCTGAGTCAGGTGCAGGTCCAGGCTTCTTGGTGGATCCCGATCATTTGGTTGGGATCTTGTCAGAGCCTGTACTGGCCCTGTCATGTCAGCCGACAACAGGGTTTAACCCACTGTCGGCTGAAAATGGGTCACAGGAGTGCAGAACAAACTGCACTCCTCTGATCTATAGAAGTATAACCAAAATATCTTTGGCTATACTTCTTTTAAATAGTACTACTCACAAGCATGAATATCACAAGTGGAGAGTAATGGATAGAATGGGGACAGACGCTGCTAGAACTTCCAAGCTCTCCAAGGAAAGGAGAGATGGGTGAGCAGTGTCCGGACTGCTGTCATACAAACAAGCCAAGCTTGACATTGGATGAACCGTCTGAGTCCTCAGCCCCGAATGTTCCTGCCGCTGATGACTTTACCACTGGAGTGTGCACAGTAGCAGGAAGCTTTTTGAGGAGACTTCCTTTTGTTTACCTTGTGAATAGACCTAGTGCACATAGGGTTTATTGTGTCTTGCTGAGAGCATATCGATTAGTGTATATGGGCTTCAAGGTTTACACTGAATGTAAAGCACATGGTATAAAGCACATCTATGCCCTGTGGGTCTAAGTCCACACTTGGTTGGGTTCAAAACATTTCATAAACCACCTCTTATGTACCGTCAACTGAAGAAGTGGCTTAGAAAAGCTAAGAAATGTCTCCAACATTACAGAACAAAATTAGTGCAATGTGAAGAATTATCACTAGCTATACCATGACCTGGGTAAATGAGAACCTTCAAAGAAATTCCATGGGTTTATGAATTACTACCTTGAGACAATTGGTACCATATTTGCTACAAAAAAAAAAAAAAACTTTGAAAAAAACTGTACAATTAGAGAAATTTGATCACGTGAAAAGCATTGCATATAAACAATAGTTGGTACAATCTTACAACTGTGTTCACATTTGTACACAACATTACTGCTCTTCTCTGTGTGAAATTGCTGCAAGTAGTCAATTTTTATATATTAGTCTGAATTTTGTTTTTAATCAATAGGAGTTTACAATGCATGATACCATTGGTTGCTACTTGGACATAGACAGTAGCCGTGTGAAGTTCTCCAAGAATGGTGAGTGATTTCATCTTTTTATTAGGATTTGCTGTTTTTAGGAGAGTCTTGATTTCAACTTTTGTTTGCTTATATTTAGGCAAAGACCTCGGACATGCATTTGATCTTCCTGCGCACTTGAAGAACCAAGCATGCTTTGCAGCATGTGTTCTGAAGGTAAGCACAATGTCTTTCAGTACTTCTGTTTGTGGCTTTGGATAGAGTGGGAGAGGATTAGATCTCTTGTAGGGTTTTAGAGAGATTTTCCCTCACTTTCTATCCTACTGGCAATGGTTTTACTAGACGGGAAGCAAGGAGCAATCTGCAACAGGGACACGTACAGAAATAAAAACAAAAATAAATAAAAGCCTTCCCCAAGTCTCCTAAATGAAAGCACTTTATTGTTAGTGTTGGAGAGTTCCCTTCACGTCTGGTATAATGTTTACAGGGCAGGTAGTGTGGGGATAGCTCTCTAATGGCTCATTGGTGGCCTTTGTAGAGCGATCTGCAGTGAATTTGTTTTCAGGGGGGTTTTGACAGTCAATGAGGCATTACGTTGTGTCCTCACCACCTGTTTTAACCCCAAAAAACCCACACCATTGCGCCACAACTGTATGCATTGCACATGGCTTTGGTGCAACCTCATTCACTTGAATGGGTTACGCTCAGCGGGTGGTACTGCCCGCTAAACGCAACAGGGGGAATATTTTTTGCGTGTATATACCCCTGGCAGCTGCTGTTACAGCTCAAGGGAAAGCTTATCTGAAACCTAAGGACTGTTCACAAATTGGTTATTTCAGAATGCTGAGCTGAAATTTAATTTTGGAGAAGAGGAATTCAAATTTCCACCTAAGGATGGATTTGTTGCTTTGTGCAAAGCTCCAGATGGCCACGCAGTCAAATCTCAAAATGCTGGTACGTATAAAATTCTGCTTGTTTCAGATTCTATATGTCAAATTTATAGTTTAGGAAATGAAAGCTAATTGGTTTGTGGCATAACTGTTGTGCTGCTGCTTCCTCTTCCCATTTGACCTTTGCTGCACAGTGGATTGCAAAAGGCTGATACAAAGTTAGATTCAGGTACTTGCAGAATTTGCATTAAAAATGCTTTGGATATATTAATGAATACAGAGCTTAATACATTTGTCTGGTTTATATCTTCCTGGAGCTCAGCTATAAGTGTAGCTATGCATTTAAAATGTTTCATTGCTCCTTTTAATTGGTTGATTCATTATCCATAAAGTGATGATTTCCTGTAGCACATTCCTTCTATGGAGCATGAAAATAAGTGTTTCTAAGGCCAGATTTCAGCAGCTACAAACACCACATATGCCTGCCATTTTTCCAAAAAGTTTTAGTAGCACATGCCTGTATAGAGAGTATATGTACATAGCACAATCTTAAAATTATCCACATTTAACCAAGACATCTCACATAATGAGACTAAAGGATCAAAAACATTTGATAAACATGAAATAACTAGGGATGCACCGACTCTGGTAGGTTCATTTGACTGTTGTCCTTGGGGGATGGGTGGGATGTGTGCTTTGTGAATCATTGCAGTTCTTATAAGACTTAGGCCTGGTTCACACCTTTGCCTTTTTTTGGAGCTTTTTGCAGAAACGCACTGCAGTCCATTTAACATAGTTTCCTATGGGACACGTTCACATCTATGCTTTTTTTCAGCTGCTGCATTTTTAAAAAGAGTCACGGACTTTTTTAAACACAAAACAGTGTGTTTTTGGTTCAATAGACTGCAATGGAGAAGCATGTAGTGCATTTTTAATGCATTTTGCATTTTTAATCTGCCCAGCAACAAAATGGCCAAAAAAAGCATAAAAAGCGCAAAACGCACTGCAGAAACTGATCAACAGCAAACTGCATAGGTGTGAACCAAGCTTTAGGGTTTCAGGTCCTTCCTTTGCACTTGCATTTACCATTTACTAGGTTTAATGTTGTTCCACCACTTTTACTAACATCTGCTATTATGTGGTGTTTTTTATTTCAGGAAGTGCCCAAGTGAGTCAGGCAAAGAATATGCCTAATGCACCAAAAGCCCTCATTATTGAACCATCCCGAGAGCTGGCAGAGCAGACTCTGAATAACGTCAAGCAGTTCAAGAAATATGTGGACAGTCCAAAGCTAAGGTGATCACTATGAGTAGGCTTGTGAACTTTAATGCTTTTACACTTTTCAGTTAAAAAATGAATCATGCTCCACACTAATTTTGCATATGACCCTAATTGTGTTTTACAAGGGCTGATGAATAGTGGTGAGATTGTATCTGATGTACAAATACTTATGGATATCATATTGTTACTGGCTCATAAACTTCTACCACAATGTTGGATTGCCCCTACTTCACTAGATCACAATATGTGGATAGCGACTGTTAAGGACTATATATCAACTGGCTTGATGTATCTGATTTTGGCCCTGTATCATTGATATATACTGCTTTCTAGTCATTTAACCTCCCTGGTGGTATTCCCGAGTGTAGCTTGGGGTAAAGTTTCAGCACCACAAGCGGTAACCCCGAGCTACACTCGGGAATACCCTGCAGCGTTGCTCCGGGATCCCTTCTGCACTTACCTTGTCCTGCGCTCCCACGATGTCCCTCCTGCAGTGTCCCCTGCAATGTCCTCCGGCCGATGCCGGCATCTGTCTTCCGGGTTCTGTTCCCTGCGACGTCAGGACGCTTGGGGACGGAACTGGTGGGAAAATTAAAAAATGTCAAAAAGTGACATTCACTCAATACACTAAAATCACATAGTAAAACATTACTGTATCAAACCATTTCACATACATTTTGTCCCTAGTGCTTTGTCCTGTGCCCTGCCTGCATTTTTACTGTTCTTTCTGCCTGGAAACTGAGAAAAGTCCATGGCGTCCAAAAAAACGTCCTTTTTAGGTCAAAAGCGGTTTTAGACCAGCTAGAGAACAGCGATAGTAAATTAGAACCACTTGCAGAATTGAGTGATAATGATTCGTGGGAAATTCGTCATCAGACACTGACGAATTTGCTCAGTGATGTGCGAACTTGGCACTCTATTTCAAATTTCAGTGTTTTTGGTTTGATTATATTATTGAATTAAATGTATTATTATTTTTTTATAATTATTTATTAAATTATAATTTATGGTTTAGGGTTTCAAATTTTAACATACCCGGGATGTTTACTAGACTCTTGTTCGGACAGATTCCAGTGAGTTATTCCTAAAAATTACAGGCCTACAATAAAAAAAACGACATATTTCCATGCAAAAAAATTTACCGCTTTGAGCACAGAAATACTGACATAATCAGACCGCTAGGGAGGTTAATATGTAAGCACAAAGTATCTGATGGAGGTTGGTATCTCCTTGTTTCTTGCCCTTTAATTCTCTGAGCGAAGCAATTGCTGGTTTTGAAGCAAAATAAGATACTGGTGAAGTGACATAACAAATTAAATCTTATATAACCTCATGCCATAACCCTTTATCATAATATATATTTTTATTTATTTTTTGCACATTCACAAAAGGATACTGAATACTGGGGGATATGTTTATGATAAAGGGTTATGGTATGAGGTTATGATGATTGATTTATGTCATATTGGAAGCGCTTTACCAGTATTGGCTTTTAATTCATTAACACAGTAGAGTGATTGCACAGTTGGGTGGTAGCTGCTTTCCTGATTCAATTTTGACTTAATTTTTATTAATTCAGTTATTTTCTTATGTGAGTACCAATAGTGTGGGGGGGTTTCTATTTTAATAGCTGGTTTTGTTATATTTACTTTTTTTCTCCTTTTAACAACATTTTGAACATTTGTGCATTGTGCTTACTATTTTGCACATGGCCCTATCACAGTATGTATCGTTTTTAAATGATACATGCTGTGATAGGGCCATATGCAAAATAGTAAGCACAATGCACGGCATGTATCAATAATTATTTAATGCGGGATTAAACCCAAAAGTAAACCTTTTATTACATTGCAGCGCATCCAAACTTTGATGTGATGGCTGCATTCGTTTTCTTTTTATTCTTTTTTTTTTTTTTACTTTTTCCTCTCCTGATCCAGCCAGTAAGTTTGCATATCCAGTAGAAAAAGCTCTCCTGAAAATCTTGCATTTAGAGTGTTGAGACAAAAACCATTTACTGACAAGGTGCTCACAATGATCAACTTTTATTAATTCATGTAAAACCTTTATACCAAAAGAAAAACATGTTGCTGTAACAGTTTGTGTAACTTCAGTTGGTTAGTGTATTTAAATCTTATAGTACATCAAACACTCCCCATCCCCCCCAGACTGACATTTGTGCCAAGTATGCCCCTGTACTCCTTCATCCCGAGCGGGGGCACTTTAATACAAGAGGTGTGTTGATGGTCAGCAGGTGAAAACAGAGGGGGGAAAAAATAAGACAGTGTCTTATATTGATTTTCGGTAAAAAAAAAATGCACTAGGGCTTATTTTCGGGTAGGTCTTATTTTTATTGAGGTTCAAAAAAAAAAATGGTACATTTATTCCAGTTCAACTACAAGTATACAGTACAAATTACTGGTACGTTAACGCCTGTTCAAATCAAAATGTACAGTATACAAACAACCGTATGTTATGTTCTGCTTCTACATTTATTCAAATACAATCATGTCATCATCTTCTAGAATATCATCATAACTCTCCATATCAGAACCTGCAATTCCTTCCTGGATTTCTTTTGACTCTAATTCCTTTAGAATTAATGACCCCAATCTCTCATGTGCAGCAATACTGCTCTCCTTAAATGAACACTTCTTGTCCAGGTAGCCTGCTCATAGTGCGTTGGCAACACTGCTTTCAGTGATTTTATCCCATTAATTATTCACCCAAGTCACCACCTCTTGCAGCTTAGGCTTCACAAAGTTCCCCCGCTGATTTCTATCCATTCTGTTTTCAATGAAATCATTGATTTCTATTTGCAAATGGTCCTTGAATGGTTTGTTTATTGCAATGTCAAGTGTCTGGAGATAGGCTGTCATTCCTGCAAGAATCATTATCTGATCTGTTCTCCTCTCTTTAAGGAAGTTCTTCAGGTCTTTAGCGCGGTGAGTGCTAGCAGAATCCCAGACAAGCAGACCTCATTAGTCACCTCTCAAAACACGTGGAAACATTAAATCTACCCACTTTGTTATAACGGCTTGAGTCCGCAATGCCTTCTCTGTTTCAAGAACATAAATACCTGAAACATAGTCTTCTCTTTCTTGCCCCTAGTGATAAGAGGTGGACCTTCTTTCCATGCAGACGAATTGCCAAAATACAGGACACCCATGCACTTTCGTAACCAGTGGAGGGAATGTAGATTGACGAGGCGCCCCTCTAATCAATTGTCATTTGAGATCCTTGACCCATATACACTGCAGTTTCATCCATAGCAATCATGTTGGAGAGTATTTAGTAAAGTCTATGTTATCAACAAAAGACTTAAATGCTAATGCACGTTTAATAATTTCAGTGTCTTCCAGCTTAAACAGTGTTCTTGATCATCTTAGAGACAGATCATATCGCCAAAGGAAGCCATCCAGCCAGTGTTGTGATGCATTAAAATATGGCTGAGCCTAATTCTACCAATATGTGATGTTCCATTGCAAGGGCATATGCTTGAATATCGGCCCTACGAACAACCAAAGCCTTTGCTCTCCTGTCAGCAATCTATTCACAGATGACGTCTTCAAGCTCAATAATTAATGGTTGCCGACCTGATCCACACTTGCGCTTCTTAGCATTTCCCTCATCCATCTTGTGACTGAGGTTCTCATACTCTTCACGCCATTTACGTACCATACGGAGATCCAGCTTATGCTCCTCGCAAAAAGCTGTAAGATTCTTTCCCTGGGAGTTTTCCACGATCCTTTTTTGTACTCAACAGAGTAGCTCTTTCTTTTTGCACTCATGCTGTCTGAGGGTAAAAATATTAATCCGATGTTATGTTGGACAAAAGACCGCATTTACTCTTGTAAAAGGGCCTTACCTTGTAACCAGGGATGTTTCTAGGCTAAATACGGCAGCTCTCAGGACACATGCAAAATTTAGAGGTAGGTCTTATTTTCAGGGGAGGGCTTATTATTATTATTATACAGGATTTATATAGAGCCAACAGTTTGCTCAGCGCTTTACAATATAACGGGACACAATACAGCAACAATACAGTTCAACACAAGAGGGATAGGAGGGCCCTGCTCCTTGGAGCTTACAATCTAGGAGGGAGGGGCTAGTAGTACAAAAGGTAGTAAATGTGGCGGATGGACTGGTTGGAAGAGTAGAAGATTCCATTATTAGCTGAGGGCAGGATAGGCTTCCCTGAAGAGATAGTGTTTCAGAGATCGCCTAAAAGTGAGCAGAGTAGGCGATAGTCTAATTAATTGGGGTCGAGAGTTCCAGAGGATAGCGGAAGCTCTGGAGAAGTCCTGGAGACTAGCATGGGAGGAGGAGACAAGGGAGCTAGAGAGTAGGAGGTCTTGCGAGGAGCGGAGAGTACGGTTTGAGTGATATTTAGAGACAAGATTGGTGATGTAATTTGGGGCAGTTATAAATGGCTTTATATTAGCGGTACATCAAAAAGTACCGCTAGGTCTTACTTTCGGGGAAACACGGTATGATGCAGCCACCACATCTAATGTTTGGTAAACTGCAATATGTTCCATTTTTGATTTTGGGTTTAATACCACTTTAAGAAAAACGGATGGGAATAAATGTCTGTACTGTTTGTATTGGAACTGGGATTTGAGACATGAAGAGAAAACTTTGAGGGAACGGGTAAAGTTTGTTTTATTTGTATTGACTGAGCACTGTTTTGATTACAATATGATTTTATTGTGCAGGGAGCTCCTGATTATTGGTGGAGTAGCCGCAAAGGAGCAGCTGGCAACGCTGGAAAATGGAGTATGTTTTATTTTTTTTTTCTTCTTCAGAGTGATATTTTTGTCAAAGCTGAGCTCCAGGCAGATTAAAAGTCTCTATATTCATTAATACATAGTTACATGGATTTTTGTTTTTCTAAATCATAGCTGTGTATGTACCAGCAGATTGGGACCTGGTATCAGCCTCTTGCAATTCACTGTACAGCAAAGCTTATGCTGGGATAGGGGAATGCAGTACAAGGAGCCAATCAGTTGTAGAGTTGGGGAGGTGAAACAGCTCTTCTCTATGTATTTTATCTGTGCATTTAGCGGTTTGCCTGGAGTTCAGCTTTACATTACAATTCTAGTAATCATGAAAGGGAGGTTTGGTCATTTCACAAAGAGAATGCCCTCTGTTATCTAAGAAGGGCTTTTATGTCCACTGGTGTTTAGTAAATTTGGACTCGGTAGTCTCCCTGCAGATATTACAGGCCATTCAAAAACTGTACATGTATTTTCTGCTAGAGTTGTTTTAAGCTTAGCACATTCCAATGCTTTATAGTACCAATGATAGATCTTGCATACAGCTAACCAGGAAAGTGCATGTGCAGTTTTGTTTTGTCATTTTAGGCTGATACATGAGTTATGGAAACACACATTCGTATTGGCTGGTCATGAATGAGTGGTCCTTGCTTTGGAATAAACATCAAAATTGGTGCAAAGTATAGGCTGCTATCAAATCATTTTACTAGAATGCGTTAGTTAATTGCTTTTTAGTTAATTGCTTTATGATTGTTTTACAAATGATTTTTGTTTTTCCTGTACTCATTTGACTTTGGTGGACCATGGACACTTAAGATGTTGGTTGAATGCTTTACAAGTAGCTTTTTTCCAAAGTTTTAGGTGTTCTGAGCATTGGTTGCAACATACAGATAAGGCCCCTTTTAACATGAAGGGTCTGATCAGGTTTGCCTGTCAGTTTTTAAGGTCGACCTGATCAGACCCCTAAGCCCTGGTTCACATATAGGTGGCCGTGTGGGTTGCGTTTTGCGGTGGCACGAGAGCCCATTTATTTGAATGGACTCCCGTACCCCATGACACGCAGGGAAGAAGTCCCTGAACTTCTTCTGAAAACGCAGCCCGTACGGGAACCTCGATTTCCAGTATGGTTGCATTTTCCAGTGCGGCTGCGTGGATTTTTGTGCGGATCCGCACTGGCACCACCCGCACATATGTGAACCAAGGGTAAGGACTGGTGGGTGTAAATGGCACATTTACACCCACCTACCTCCAATCTGATCCAGTCTGCTAAAAAAAAAAAGAGGATCTGTCCCCCTCTATCTAAGTCAGTGGTCTCCAAACTGTGGCCCATGGGCCAGATGCGGCCGTCTGCTTGAACTTATCTGGCCCTCAGGGCACGATTTCTCCCACTGTGACCAATGATGGGGCACTTTCATTCCACTGACAGCAATGATGTGGCACTATTCCTTCCACTGTTACCAACAAGGCTGCACTATTTCTCCCAGTGACACCAGTGATGGGGCACTATTCATGCCAGCGACACCAATGATGGGGCACTGCTTTTTTTTTTCCACTAATGCCAACGATAGGGCACTATTCCTCCCAATGACACCAAAGATGGGGTTCTTTTTCTTCCCCCACTGACCACCATGTCTGGGGGATTGTTTACTCCCACTGACACTAGGACATCTTTTACTTTCACTGGCCCCCTCGGGTTTAAAGCACAGTAAATTGGCCCTTTGTTTGGAAAGTTTGGAGACCCTTGATCTAAGTGGAGCAGATGGCAGTCAGGTGTAAATGGACAGCAGAGTCCGTTTACACCCGACAGTCCATAGATCAGAGCAGGCCCTTGCCATGTCCACTTTGCATAAACTGCGCTGGCACGGACCTGTCATCTGCCCGCTCTGCTCTAATCTGGGGATCAGCGAACAGATGCCTTGCTGGTCATAACAGAGCCCGCTCCGTGAAAAAGGGGCCTATGTTTTATTTATTTATTTATTTTGGTAAAGTAAGAAAAGGTTAGAACCTTTTGTCAAGCATTTGGATTTAGATGGTACTTTCAGTACTTTTACAGTATAGATCTGTAAATATACTTTAGATAAACTGACACAGCAGTAGGTACTTACCAAACATCTGTTGCAAAGGTCTGTAGATTGTATTGCTGCAGATGTACTGTTCCTGTGTCAGGAATAGTCTGATTACTTTGACACGTATTACAAACTTTACTTGTGTTCCCAATAGGTGGATATTGTAGTGGGCACTCCAGGCAGAATTGATGATCTAATTTCAACAGGAAAACTAAATCTGTCACAAGTACGCTTCCTGGTGCTTGATGAAGCTGTAAGTTGTGTTTTTTTTTTCCTTTACCCAGAGGGTTTATGCCTGGTGCTCTCTAATGATATGTCTTGTTCCATGGTGGTGTCTAGTATTCTCCTTGCTGATCTCTCTGGTGTTGCGTTGTAGGATGGCCTCCTCTCTCAGGGATATTTAGACTTCATCAACAGAATTCATCAACAAATCCCTCAGATCACTTCCGATGGCAAAAGGCTGCAGGTAAGACAGGAGGGACAAATATCTGTTATACACAACAATCAGCCTTAACATTATGACCAACGACCATAACCTGTTAAGGCATGGACTCCACTAGATCTGTGAAAGTATTCTGTACTCTATTAGACCTCTGTGTTATCTGGCATCAAGCAGTCAGTAGCAAATCCTTAATAACCTGTAAGTTATGAGTTGGAGCCTCTATGGATCTGAATTGTTTTTCCAGCACATCCCACAGATTGGATTGAGATCTGGAGAATTTGAAGGCAAAGTAAACACCTCAAACTTGTTCCTTAAACCATTCTTGAATTCACCAGACCAGACCACCTTCTTCCATTGCTCCATGGTCCAGTTGTGATGTTCACGTACCCATTGTAGGAGCTTTTGGTTGTGGTCTGCATGGGCATCTTAACCAGTCTGGGACTATGTAGCCCCATGTGCAACACACTGCAATGCACTGTGTTCTGACGCCTTTCTATCAGAAAAAGCATTAACTTTTTTTGAGCTACAGTAGCTCCTCTATTGGATTGGGCTACAAGGGCCAGCCTTCACATCCCACGTGCATCGGTGAGCCTTGGCCTCTTGTGACCCTGAGTCTAGTTCATTGGTTTTCTTTCCTTGGACCACTTTTGTAGGTCCTGACCACTGCTGACCAGGAACATCCCACAAGATCTGCAGTTTTGGAGTTGCTCTGACCCAGTCATCTAGCCATTACAATTTGGCCCTCAAAGTCGATCAAATCCTTATGCTTGCCCATTTTTTTCTGCCTGCAACACATCAACTTTAGAGTCAATATGTTCACTTTTCTGCTCAATATATCCCAACCACTTTCAGACGTCATTGTCATGGGCTAATAATGTTGTTCATGTTACCTGTCAGTGGTCATAATGTTATAGCTGATCATTGTAAGTAAACCTTCATGCTTTTAAAAAAAAAAAAATGTGGGCTGCCAGAGCCTGACCTTAGAAATTCACTGAAAAGTGATTCTGAGGTTGCTTCGAAGTTCTTTAAACCTGTACACACTATAGGAGATTCCAGCGAACAGTTGTCCAGTTTTCCTTGATGTTTCACAGCAAGTCAGACCCGAAATTGGTGCTAATTGTACGAAAGTTCTCATTCGACAAATGCTTTTTTTTTTTTTCTTGTCTGTTTTGTTTGATGTAGACAAATTGTAGCATTGATTTTTGTTTATTGTGTCTGAACATGTACAGTCTTTCATGGCGGTTTTTTTTTCCCTTCAGAAATTTTATTTGGAAAGTTTGAATCAGATGTCAAAAGTTGTGTACACGCTTTACGAAAATTGAACGAGCGGTCTTCTACTAAATTTTTCTTCTGATTTTCCTATAGAGTGTACCCAGCTTGAGTAGCACTGCTTGATCTGCAAATAGATTAACAGATGGCAAATTATCTTTTTCTCCTAAATATATTTATGCAGACTTGTCTAGTCTGTAAAGAATCATACAACAAATGAATTGCGATGGCTTGGATTCCTGTATAGTTTTATTATGCACACATCTGAGATCTGAATGGGAATTTTTAAGAAAAATAAAGATGTGTGTTTTATTTTGTTCTCTACAAAAGTAATCAAGAGAACTGACTAAATACAGGGATGTATAGGCTGAGTTCATACTGTATATTGACTTTTGTTCTGCTCAGGTGATTGTGTGTTCAGCCACTCTGCATTCGTTCGATGTGAAGAAACTGTCTGAGAAAATCATGCACTTCCCTACCTGGGTGGATCTGAAAGGAGAAGATTCTGTCCCTGAAACTGTTCACCATGTTGTAGTCCCAGTCAATCCAAAGAAAGATAAACTGTGGGAGCGACTGGGCAACAAACATGTCCGTGTAAGTGCGGTGTTCCTAGAGATCTGTGCATAATTTATTTAGACTCTTGAAATACGAAACACAGAACAATGGTGGTTTTATATAAATTTCTCTTACAAAATGGAGCCTGTTAGTATAGAAACATGTGATCTGTCAATGCTGACATGATTTCATCTGTGTAATCTTCGGGGCTGTCATCCTGCTTCTGGCTTTACCATCTAGCTCAGGGGCTCACTAGGTAGTAAAGCATTATATGAACCAGAACTGTTGGGAATTTCCCAAGAAGAGCCCAAGACCCTCTATGTATGTCTATCTCTCCCCATTTTTCCTATCTGTCTCTTTCATCCTGTCTCTCTCCCCATTCTTAAATTGAAATTTAAAGTCATATTAAAGGTTCACTTTTTATTTTTTCTGTTATACTTACCTGCTCTGGGAAGTGGTTTTAAAACGGAGGAAAAAGCCTAAAAAAAAGAAAACTAATGCAGTCATCATGTCTGATTGATAAGCTGCAAGCTTACATTTTTGGCTTTGACTTTCACTAACAGTTAAAGCAGTATTAAACCCAAAGTCTCTTATATAAAAGTGAAGTCTGGAATGAGAGCTAAAATTCTGAAAGTGAGTGCTTCTCACTGCTGAGTAGCTGGGGCACAGTATTCCTGTGCTCCTTATCTTCAAGGACTCCTTGGTCACACCAGTGGCACAGTTTCCCTCTCCTTGGGCTTGTCCTGATTTGATTTTCCAGCTCTTTCAATATCCCACACCCCAAATCTTTATCTTCCTACCCACTCTCTCCCCCCCCCCCCCCCCCCCCCCCCCCCCCACATGCCTTCTAACTCTGTACTAAAAAAAAAAAGTTGTGGCACTTGGTTAACTTTTGTGGTTATTTATGTCCTTAGAAAAAGTTAAATTATTCAGGCAAGCAAGTTAGTCATAATTATTTGTCATGTTAATCAATGCATGCTAAAGCTGCTAAATATGATCTGGGCTTCTGTACAGGAATCTCTAAGACTTGCAATCTAAAATAAAGCAATACCAGGTGGGCATAAGCTAATATGTGTTCACTGTTAATTTTTCTTCTAAATGAAGTTCTCTCTTTTTTTTTTTTTTTTAATACTTCTTGTTGCATAGACTGATGGAGTCCATGATAAAGATAACACTAGACCCGGAGGAATCTCCCCAGGTAATGTGACATGTCAAGTACCATAACACAATAACCACAGTTCACTAAGCCATAACTTGTGTTTGTCATAGCGATTTAATGTTAGCCACGTGACTGCTGTTACAACTGAAAAACTGGTATGACGAATCGCAATTGTCCTAGCTTAGTGAATTAGCCCCCTTTTGTTATGCAGCAGTACATTGGGGAACATTCACTGGAATCCATAACTGTTTTTTCTGTTCTCTTTTCCAGAAACCATGTCAGAAGCTATTAAAATCCTGAAAGGAGAGTACATAGTTCGTGCCATCAAAGAACATAACATGGATCAAGCCATCATTTTCTGCCGAACCAAGTTGGACTGTGACAACTTGGAGCAATATTTTTGTACAGTATGGAGGAGGTAATTACTGCACTGTTAGCGTTTCCTATATAGAGAATAGCAGAAAATGTTTATAATCTAATTAAATCCTTACTATGGAATAGTTTGCCAGAACACAGTTTACAGATTAATTTAATTTCCATCTAAAAGTCATTTTCTCGTGATGTTAATGTTTTTGAAACCCCTAATTAGTCTCTCCTCCTCCTGCCTTTCCTGCTCCATAGTTGATCAGGTAGCTGTCCATCACATTGGTGGGCCAGTGGTATATTGCATGGGAAGTGGTGAATCCAAAAATGTAACTTCCTAGTTGAATTCAGCATTTGCGTAGTAAAGCGCCACAGGTTTGGCAGTTCTTGGGGCACTGTAAAGATAACTGAGGCTGTAGGTTTGTTCCGTCACATGGATACCACCTTCCCATTGGCTAGAGGGTTTTCTTTAAAGCGGAATGCCAGACAAAACTGTGGCTGCCCCTAATACACACCCACTCTGTGAGACAGTTGTTTGCTCTAGTCCTTAGCCGATGGACATCTTCCTTTTCTCTCTTTTTCACCATTCTTTTTTTTTTTGACCATTCTGATAAGACCTGATGGCTTATTGCCCTGGGCTGTGTAGCGGTTTTCTGATCAGTACCCCCCTTAATTGGGGAATGTACCTGGACCTGTGTGGACAGACTGTAATGTTTGCTTCAAGGCCTGGATCCTGTGTTGGATGCTCACCTTGGACCGTGTGCAACGTGTGTAGGTAGCCATAGGGTGTTATACAGATCCAGGGTTGTGGCCCATCATGATGGATCTCAGACCCTGAAGATTTTGCAAGTATGCCCGGCATGATGGGTGAAGCCTAGAAAGGTCCAACAATGTCTATAATAAGACAGGCTTTTCCTGCATTTTGGGACCTGTTCCTGGCTATTACCGTCTTGCACATTCAAATAGGGAAATTTATGACAGGTACTTGTATAGCACCGTAGGTTTATGCAGCGCTTTACATATTTTGTACATTCACATCAATCCCTACCCCTCAAGGAGCGTATAATCTAAGGTCCCTAACTCACATTCATATATACACTTACTAGGGCCAATTTAGACAGGAACCAATTAACATACCAGCATGTCTTTGGAGTGTGGGAGGAAACCGGAGTACCCAAAGGAAACCCACGCGGGCATGGGGAGAACATGCAAACTTCAGGCAAGTGGTACCGTGGTTGGGATTCAAGTCAATGTCTCAAGTGCTGCCAGGTGAAAGTGCTAACCATTTAGCCACTGTGCTGCTGTAGTATTTCTACACTAAATACCTTCCACTTGCACAGGTCGCTCACAGTGCTTGCCACAATTAACTTCTTTTTAAATCTGACGTTTCCCCCCCCCCCCTCTATCTCTACTCAGAATGATGACATAACTGCGACATGTCTCATGGCTGAAAAATCTTCGCCCCACCATATCCACAAAAGCAGATTTCTCTACCACTATGTCTGAACAGTTCCTGTGTGATTCGGATGCAGGCATTGTGTGAACCAGCCTTCAAAACAGAGTCCTTTATGTCTTACCTGTAGACTTTTGTAGAGGCCGTTCTGTCTCCTGCTTTACCATTGCCAAGTGGACAGACAGCTTTTTTTTTCCTGAGCCTAATGTGACGGTGTGCGGTGTCAGTTCCCAGCCCTTCTCACCAACTTGTGACTGAAGGACCAGCCGATCTCACACTGTGCTGTCACTTGCGTAACAATGCTACTGTCAGCTGTGCCCTGCACAAAGATTTTCCAGCTCGTGGTGTGACGATCGCGATGTCAGATCCCAGCCCTTCACACCAAACTCGTGACCGAAGGACTAGCCAATCTAAAACCATGATGTCACGAGCGTAACAATGTCATGCCCAGCTGCACCCTGCAGAACGATTTTCCAGCTAATGGACCACAATCGATGTACCGGCAGCATGAGCACGATTGTTACTGGGTCAGGTTAATTACGCAACTAACCCTTCACACTGCCACCACCTTTTTTTTGTACAGAGAAAGAGGAAACTCAGCAATATCAGCAATATAACACTATGATGGTTGAAATAATCGTCTGTATACCACTGTCACAGCAGGCAGGTTATACATTATACAAAGGGTTAAACGCACAGTAGCGCTCTTCAGCGGCAGAAATTCGTAGTTTGCATTAAAGGCGTTAGAAACAGTTGAACACTTTCAGAAAGTAAGATTTTTTTACGAAAAGGTCAAAGGGGTGGAATAAAAAATATTTACAGAAAAAGATGTAACACACACACACACACACACACACACACACACACACACACCACAGCGATAACAGAAAGGAGTTTAAAGGGTTAAAGTACTTGCCAGTCAGCCTTGGTTTAAGCAGCTTCAAGTTTCATAAGTCAAAAGGATTTCTTGTCTCTACTGTCAGTTTCGATGTTAAAACAGGAGACTCTTCTTTTTTCTCTCACAAACCACTTCAAGCATAACAGCCTTTTTCTAGGATCTCAGCAGGGTGTCTCCTTACAACAGAGAGCCAATTGCCTCATTTGGGGAGGGGTGTTGGGGCGGAGACCCAAGCTAGAACAAAAATCCCTCATAGCTTATATTATGGCCTATAACTTTTCCTTGGGGCATTTAGCAGCCGTGCCACTAGTAGATTAATATGCAGACACATCTGCGGAACGGTTAGATATGAAATATTCGCGTGAATGGTTCAGGAGATATAATTTTCTGCTTTTCTATATATGCCAGCTAAGGGGTGTAACCTATCAGGAATCTTGTATCAAAGTGACCAATCGGAATATATGCCTGGTTTTTATGTAATAATGTCATATTTCAAGATATGAAATCATAGGGGAAAATGGATGTTGAATGTGGTGTCTAGTTTATTGCCTTCTCTGGAATGTCTTTGAACTTCCGTGAAGGACTTGGTTTACGCTTTTACGATATCCCAGATTGCACAGCTACTAGACAGCTAGGCCCCAGCTCCATTGGGGGTTTCAAAGCTCGGAGTACTCCTGCTGTGCCTGGTTTGCCTGTGACCTCTGTTATCACAACCACATGCCACTCACCAGCGAGGGAGGGGGGGGATGAGTGGAGGAGAGCCTGTTTTGGGAGTGAGCAATGGTACAACATGGAAAATTCTTAACAAAATGGAGGTCCGCGTCCATCTCTGTGGGCACGATTGCTAAACGTGGGACCACAATCTATGTGCCAGCAGCCTGAGAGCGATTTTTACTGGGTCTGGTTAATTGCGCAATTAACCCTTCACAGTGTCACCACCTCCTTTTTACAGAGAAGGAGGAGACTCACAAATCTTAGCAGTAACACTATATTAGCACAAGTGTCTGTAAAACACACTGTCACCACAGACAGATGTATTTAGAGGATTATTACATACAGTACCACTCTTCAAGAGACAGGGATTCTTTAGTTTGCATTAAAAGCTTTAGAGACAGTTCAACACTTATCAGAAAATAGGATTTATTACTAAAAAGGTCAAAATGGTGCAATTAAAATAGTTACAGAAAAAGATGTAACAAAGACATAAAGAAAGCAATAAAACAACAGAGAAATAAAAGAAAGGAGTTCAGAAGGCTTGCAAAAGTCCTTGGTCTGAGCAGAGTTCAATCGTCCGAACAAAAGGTTGCCTTTGCTCTCAAGATGGTTCCTGATCGATGTTAAAATGAGAGCTCCTTTTTCTCCAGGCTGTCAGTCTATTTCTATCATCTCAAAGGGGTGTCTCCTGAGAACAAATGTTAGGCGGTAACCAAGGTTATGACCAAATCCCTTACAAGTTCATACTACAGTCAATAACCTTCAATAGGTACAGGTAGCATCCTAGCCACTGGCAGATTAATATTTAGAATTATATTCCGCTCGCACAGATACCACACTTAGCATATCTTTTCTACTCCAGATAAAAGAAATTGCTTTCTACTCTCTTGTAGGTGCTAACATAGGGCTGTAAGGTGTCGTGGCTTCTATTAAAGTGTTAAAATGACATATCCAAATATATACTTCATATTAATGTGCCCAGTTCCTGCTGAAGTTTATGAATTGTATGAAAAATGACTCAGAATGTACGTTTTATGGCACTCTCTAGCCATAATGGCCTAACAGGTCATGACTGACTGAGTTATTGTTTTACGATTGGGCAGCGGAAAGTGGTTTTTCAAAGAAAACACACCCCCCCCTCTAGTATAAGTGGCCTTTTGAACTCTGTTCACTTACAGACTCTCATTCCATTCAAGAGGGAGGAGGGAGAACAGGAGAGACAACATGGTCAAGATGGCTTGTCATGTACAGCGTCCATGCCTCTATTGTGCACAATCGTCACACCTAAGCCTTTAAAAAAAGATTGCCTCTTCCCTATCAGAGCTTACTCCACCAGGCCTGTTAGTGTCTCTTGGGTTTTCTAGCATCAAGTATCTGTGTTCCAGATTTGCATGAACACGACCTGATCATTTATTTACATGTTTTCAAGGTGAATGTTCAGTATCCAGCTGATGTGAGCTTCATCCACGAGGTGCTTTCGGGTTTTTTAACCCTTGCTTTCTCTGTGCCTGTTTATCTCCCCTCAGTTTATTTCTATGGTATGTCCCATGGTCTCTGAATACAAGTTTGTCCTGTACTGAGCGATTTATAGGAATTTTGACATGCCTGCTAAATTCCTCATGGAGTACAGTGCAGGACACAGGCCATCCAATCTATTGTCTGTGGTCACCCCCTATTTCATAAAAACTGAAGTTCTATGGAGTGGATTAAGTTATGAATGTGTGCGTTAGGGGCGGCCCTACACATCTTTTTGCCAGTGTCCACCTCTAGGTAGCCTGCACTATTATGCTCATTGTTTCGAATCTCAACCATGACATTACCTGCATGGAGTTTGTATGTTCTCCCTATGCCTGTGTAGGTTTCCTCTGGGTACTCTGGTTTCCTCCCACACTCCAAAGACATAGTGATAGTTAATTAGCTCCTGACTAAAATTGCCCTAGTATATGTATGTGATTTAGAGACCTTAGTTCTTTGAGGTTAGGGACTAGTTTTGAGTAAATTAGATGGAAGGGTTAAAACTTCTGTCAGGTTTAATTTTTTTTAATTACTGTCTATGTTGTCAATATGGAGATTCATTCTGGCATTTTACTCTTGAATAAAATAAAGATCATTCAATTCATTTTATTTTATTGAAATGTTTCAGGGCCTGATAGGAAAGGACACCAGTTCTCATGTGTATGTCTGCATAGTGACAGGAAACCACAGGAGAGGAAGCAAAACTTGGAGAGATTTAAGGTATGTGCTGGGAGCTGCTGCTGTTCTGTTTCTCTAATGTTTTGTGGTGATAGATACTGTATCTGATCTCTTTGCCTTCGAGAACAGTGCATTATTTGATATGGCCTGCAGATGTTATTTTGCTCTTTACATAACCATGCATTATTTGGTATAGCCCACAGATGTCAGTGTTGCTCCTTTGTTGCTTCTGGCAGTGAGTTTAGCAGTGAAAAAATGCAACAGCAATTCTTTGGTTACACAGATATATTTTGATTGTTACCTCCTAAAGGTACATTGTACCCATGGATTCTCATTTCCATCACAGTACTAATAGGCACAATCCTACATCCTCAGAGCTGGTTTACACATACGCGAATTGGATGCATTTTGAGCCGCATCCAATTCGCATGACCTGTGAACTAATATTGCTTTCTGTTGTGCCTTTTCGCATATGTCTGATTCAGTCGGAGTGCAAACTCAGTGCGAATTGAAAAAGAGTCCTGTCCCTTTTCTGAAAAGTGCAGTTAGGCTCTGGTGCGAATTCATGCCTATTGATTTCTATGGGAACACTTTTGAATAGCACCTATCATTCAGTTGTGAACAGAATCAAATCCTGATGTAAACCTGACCTGAAACTCTGAACAACTACTTTGCCAATTAGCTGTGCAACGTATTTAGACCCCCTTCACTTTTTCAATGTTGTTGTGTTGCAGCCTGATACTACAATTGTTTAAATTCATTTTTTCTCATTAATCTATACACCGTACCCCTTAATGACAAAGTGAGAACAGAATTTTTAGAAATGTCTGTGAATTTATTAAAAAGAAAAAACTGAAATATCACATGTACTTAAAACAGAACTTCCCTTTTGGGTGATGTTCTGCTTTAAGTCATCCTCCCCCCTCTTCTTCCATATTTTGGCATGTCGTTTTGGGAACCTAGTTTTGACAGGTATTCACTCCCGCTCCTGATGCATTCATTTCGCAAAGAAAAATATAGTGCAGGAAGATTTATATCTCAGCTTCCAGGCATGGAGCATATTACCAGCATATCAGATATTATATCATATAAGACGTTAGAGCCTGTAAAATAAAAAATGAGAGAATAACCTACACTTGGGTTTGGTTGAAACAAAAATCCTCTTAAAGGCCTTGAAGTTTGTGAGGTAGTAGGTCGAAAATGCAATCGACTGAATGCGATAGGTGTTTTCAATGGTCCAGTGGGGGGAGAGAGCAACCAATAGAGGGAAGGGAATTGGCAGAATAGATCAGAGAAGAGGGGGAGAAGGGTTGGATGGGGAAGTAGGGTGTATGGTGGGAGCAGGTACCACAACATCAATGTGATTGGTACCTATGGCTATAAAAAGGCTGGAGTGGAAACGAGAGTCCAGAAAGACTATCCAGACTATGTAGCTGTATTAGAGGAGTATTTAGTATGCTACTGTGCCACCAGTTCCTTCAAGCGCTATTTGCAGCAGAGTTCGGTAAACCACTTAGCAATTCTAGGGGCGGTCAATCTCAAGAAAGATCATATTTCTAGCAGCCTTTGAAAAAAAAAAAAAAAAAAAAGCAAGCCCTTCTTGGCTGATGAGATAATGCTTGGTAGTATGGAACGCCAGGCTATGTTTGCAGATGGAGGGTTGTTGGAATCCATGACTAAATCATAGATTTGAAAGATAAGGAACCCAAAGTTGTAATTTGGAGGCATGACCACCATATATGTAACGTGGTATCTGCAGATTCTCTGCACCCTTACATGTATTTTTAAATGCAGTTAGTGTGAGCAGCTTAATCTGACTTGGTATCAGCCTGTTGAAGTTCCTGTACAGCAGAGCTCAGGTATGAAGAAGCAGCATAGGAAGGCAATCAGTTGTGCTGCAGTACAAGAAACATGCAGATAGGAGAGAGCGGAGAGATAGAAAAATCGCTCTCCTCCGCCTCCTCCTTTCACTTTTTTCAGTCAAAGGGTTTGGGTGCAGAGATAATCTGTAGGTATTACTGAACTGCAGCAGAGAAAGGTTCCACAGGTCTGTATGGTGTGGCAGAGCCAGATGAAGAGTAATACAAATCCTTTGGCAGGTAAAGCGGCTCCTTTCCCTGTTCTTCATCTGTTTATTAACCGTTTCAATACCGTGCAATTTTACACCTTCCTGCCCAGGCCAGTTTTCAGGTTTCAGCGCTCTCACACTTTGAATGACAATTGCGCGGTCATACAACATTGTACCCAAACTAAAATTTGATCATTTTCTTCACACAACTAGAGCTTTCTTTTGGTGGTATTTAATCACCGCTGGGGTTTTTATTTTTTGCTAAATTAACAAAAAAAAGACCAAAAATTTTGAAAAAAAACACATTTTTCTTTGTTTCTGTTATAAAAGTTTACAAATAAATAATTGTTCTTCATAAATTTAGGCCGAGATGTATTCTGCTACATGTCTTTGGTGAAAATAACCCAAATTAGGATGTATTTTTTAGTTTGTAGGAAAGTTATAGAGTTCACAAACTATGGTATAGATCTGAATATTGATCAATCCTGAAGTACTGACAGCCAATCTAATATCTTGAGGTCCAAGAATGTCAGAACAGTACAGATATCCCCCAAATGACCCCTTTTTGCAGAGTAGACAGTTCGACGTACTTCATAAGAGGCATGGCGAGTTTTTTGAAGTTGTATTTTTTTTGTCATAATTTTTCGGAAAATGAAAAAAATTAAAAAAATTTTCACATTTTCATTTTTTTTTTTTACATACTGTCACCAGTGCAGTACAGCGTCATCATATAACTGGCATGGTGGTGAACAGCGACACTGACTGGTGACAGTATGAAAAAAAAAAATATATATATATTTTTTTTATTTTTTTTTTATTTTTTTTATTATATTTAATTTTTTATTACATTTTTTTTTATTTTTTTTACGATTTTTTTTCATATTTTACTATGACCAAAATAGTACAATGTTACCATAGTAACACTGTACTACTTTGGGGAAGTGATCAGTATTTTTTTTTTTTTACACAATTTGCTTATAGCAAAGAATTACTTTGCTATAAGCAAGCATTTACCTGAATGAAATCGATTCATTCAGCTTTTTTTTTTTTTTTTTTTTTTTTTTTTGTGCTTAGCTGTGATTTGGTCACAGCTAATCACATGACATGTGCATGTGATTAGCTGTGACCATTCACAGCTAGGCACTAGTATACAATGGATGGCATCATGAATGAAGCCATCCATTGTATACAACTGTCATGTGATTTGCTGTGATTGGTCACAGCAGGTCACATGGTACCGGCAACGGGAGCCGGTACTCGGATCTGTCATCGGCCGTGTCCGAGGTGCACGGGCGGTGACAGATCGCACTGCTGCGTCGCTCTGCAACCGCGCAAACCGCGCATGTGCGGGAGCACGCCAAATGGCGTGCACCCGGAAAGCTGCAGCGCTTTTCAAGCCGCCAAACGGCCATTGGCCGGGCGGCTAATGGTTAAAGTGATATTTTTTTTTTTTTTTTTTTTAATCACAAACATTTCATACTTACCTGCTCTGGTCAGTGGTTTTGCACAGAGCAGCACCGATCTCCTCTTCTTTGGTTCTTCCCCAGTGCTCCTGTCCCCTTCCTCCTGCCAAGTGTCTTTACAGCAAGCTCCCGAACTGCTGCTCTGCGTGTCTATTCACATAGAGAGCTGTGGCTCGGTCCCGCCATCTTTCTCTCCTCATTGGCTCGCTGACTGTGATTGACAGCTGTGGGAGCAAATGGTTCCCACTGCTGTCTCAGCCAGTGAGGAGGGAGAATCCCCGGAGAGTCGAGGCTCGTGTGCACATTGCTGGATTGTGATGGGGGGCTCAGGTAAGTATTGAAGGGGCTGCAGCACACAGAGGGTTTTTTACCTTCATGAATAGAATGCATGAATTTTTAAAATAAACCTTGAGCCTTTACAGCCACTATTTGCCTGGAGTTCAGCTTCAAGGATAGTTTGTATAGATACATAAATTTCAAATTTGAGCCACTACTGTGTGGTGACATGAATGAAGTGTTACTTTGTACACTTCTGATAAAGTTGAGAAAAAGAAGTGAACTGTATGATGCTCTTAAATGCTCATCACACCACCCTCCCAAAATTGACAACTGCCTGCACGCTAAAACTGAGCATTTAGCATACGAGCAGTGCGAATGGGCCCTAATAAGGAGATGCATCAAAGCTTTATAGGCATTTTAATTTTTTAAGCTGGTGTGGGATCTCTGACCCTTCTCACTCCTGATGTACAGGCAAGATGTAGGTGTTGTGCTGAGGTTTAAAATTAAATTTGGAGCACTGGGCTCAGGTCAGCAATAGTCAGGAGCTGGATTTTTCCAGCCTTGCTTCTGCTCACATTGTGTTTTTATGATTTTCCTTCAAGTCTGTGCCATTTTTTTTTTTTTTTTGAGTCACAAAGGTTTTATTGAAAATATTTAGCAGGTTTTTTTCCCCTCCTTGCTGTACATACAACACAAGACGGAAGACAAAATAACCCCAACAGGGAGTCTTCCCTTTCTAAAATCTGTTATTTTAGTTGCAGTATACCTCTTCTCATCTTGAAACAACAAACATTGAGATTGAATTGCCTTAACACTTTGTCTCAGGTCTGTCTATTCACTTTTATACTCCTATTACTTTGTGTTTAGAAAAATGAAGTTCGATTCCTGATTTGCACAGATGTGGCTGCCAGAGGTATTGATATCCATGGAGTTCCTTATGGTGAGTTGGTTTCCTGTTATTTGCTTCTCTCTTTTTGTATCCGACTGAATAGTCATCATGATATCTGTTCATCATTCAGTTATCAATGTAACCCTTCCTGATGAGAAGCAGAACTATGTCCATCGCATTGGAAGAGTCGGCAGAGCTGAGAGGTATTGTACAGTTATGAATTATGCTCTACTTTTGTTTTTCGGTAATTGTTGGAAGCTTTTTTTTTAGGTCTTGTTTAAACTTGCGGTTGGTGGGCTATAAAAAAATGATCCACGCTCTTCCCTGTCACAATCGCCTAAATGGGGCTGTACCATAAGGGCTCTTTCACATTTGACTTTATTTCCAACTCTTGCCAAATGCCCCTATAGTGTTTGACAGGCGTTTGGAAAGCGGTTTCAAAGCTCCTCAAACACTCCCCATGCGCGGTTTTGAGGCGGTTGATAGGCGTTTGCCCAGCGATAAAACCGCACCACAAGTGCCTATAATGAAGTTAAATGGTATTAACGCTCTGCATCAGCATCGCAATCACACTGCAAACGTCTGCCAGGCGTTTGCGGAGCGGCACCATAGACTTGAATGGAAGGCTTCAACTCCTCCTGACTCGACACAAGGCGTCAGTTTTGCTGCGAAGCTAACACTTCAGTGTGAACAGCACTGCGTGGTGCCATGTGCAGAATTTTCAAAGGCGTTTGAGAAGCATTAAAAACGCTTCCCAAACGCCTGTCTGACGCCTGCTGACAAAGCTAGTGTGAACTGAGCCTAACTGCGTGCAATGCACGCTGTTATGGCACGTGGTGGAAGGTTTTTAGGGGTTTAAAAAGGCAGTGAGAAAATGACATAGTGATGACCAATTAGAATCTGTGTGGTTCGTTCTGGCAGTACTGGATAGAGAGGAGAGAAAGCAATGGGAATTTTAAATCCCCGAACCGGTGAAGCGGCTTGCAGGAGCTCTGACAGTTCATGATCGTGGGAGGTAAGTACAGTTGGGACAGGGGTGGGTGCGGGTTGTGAGGGGGGGGGGGGGGGGGGGTCCAGTGTTGGGTCACCTTTACAGGTTTTTTTTAACCTTTAACATTGGGCTTGAAAATGTAGCAGAAACGAACACCTTTTATTTAATGGTTAGAGCGTATTTAATACTGGTTTACTACTGATGTTTCTATTTTCAGAATGGGATTGGCCATTTCTCTGGTGGCAATGGAAAAAGAGAAGGTAAGGAGTTTGATGAAGGAATGATTGTGTTGTAATGATTGCATGTTTCTACAGGGGGAGTACAAAACGTCTATAGATATAAGGGGGTGGCAGAAAGTTGCAAATAATTTTGTTACATTTAAGAGGAATATTTTAATATTAGACAACTGCTACAAATGTTTTTTGGTTGCCTATGTATATTTTTAAAGGGAACCTCGACTGAAAAAATAAAATAAAGCTGTTTGGTTCAGATTGAGTAGTTCTAGCATTTGACTAGATCAGTGTTTCTCAACCTTTTTTCAGTCAAGGTACCCTTTAAAATTATGGACGGTCCCGCGGCACCCTTTAAAAATTATGGACAGTCTTGAGGCACCCCATTTTGAAATAGGGTGCCTCTAGACTGCCCATAATTTTAAAAGGACTCCCCATTCTAAAATGTGAAAAGCTATTCTAATAGGTTTATATAACGCATCAATATCCACACATGTAGGACACCCAACATTGGAGGTGATTTATATTTCCCAAGCAAATACATTTTTGCACACTGGTACTGAGTACTATTCCAGTCTTTTCCTTCAGTTTTTCATCACTGAGCTAATGTGACCCCAGCACTGATGGAGAGGGCCAGGGGAGGGTCAAACTAGGATGCTGTGCAGGCAGCTGACATCCTCCTTATCAACTGATGATGTCATTGGTTGTCAGGACACCGGTGTCTAGTAGGTCCTAATAGTGCACAATGAAAACCTATGGCTTTGTGTAACTAAAAGGCAGGCTTGTCCCACCGGCTGGCTTGTATACAAGTTTTGGCCAATTTCTAGACATTTTGCCAAGGCACCCTGGTTGAGAGAGGCTGGACTAGATAAAGGTGACGTTTTATCGTTTAAAAAAAAAAAAAAAACATCTAAAAGAAATATATTTACCCCTCATGCACACCATTGGCATTTCCCTGCATAAACCAATCCCCTTTCCTCTGGTTTTATGATTTAATCCATCTTTGATTAGCATGATTCTGTGTTTAAACCTCTCATTTCAGTGTAATCACTTATCACCTCCTTGTTCTGGCCGCAGGTTTGGTATCATGTGTGCAGCAGTCGTGGTAAAGGTTGTTATAATACCAGGCTGAAGGATGATGGCGGCTGTACCATATGGTACAATGAGGTGCAGGTATGTTCCGTTCTGTTATGCTAAGTAGGCAGCAGCTACACATTCTATCAGCTACAATACTAGTCTCTTTTTGGCAGAAGGTGGATGCACACGGACATTTAGAACATAAAAAATGGCACATTTTTGGACAGAGGTGGGACAGGTGCAGCGAACAGCCCACTGCCAGCAGCCTGTCAAAATCTGACTAGCTGTAAATATGTGGTGGCTGTAAGTGGCTGAACGCTGGTCTGAGCGGTACTTCCATTTAATACTGTTTGAGTCTAGGGGCATATGCCCCAAACAGTCATTTTGTGTTTTGGAGACATCCTCCCTGGATGGATACCATTAACCACGAGTATCACTCAGAACAGTATCCAGCTGCGTATTTAAGCCAATCATTCATTTTGACAGGTCTCTGGCAGCGGGTGTACTCTGCACTTGTGTCTCCCTTGCACCCAAGAACTTTCAGTTTTTACGTTCTATGAGCCAAACTGCCCATGTGCATGTTCCCTATATGGAGACCTTCAGGTTTTTGGATTAGTTGGAAGCTGTGAAGCAGGACTGATGTGTAGCTTTTATTATTCCAATATATTCATCTGAATGTACTAAATTGGACATTTCCAGTAAGATGTAAGACAGAACATTATCTGCAGAAATAAATATAATCCATCCTATTTTCCTAGATATTCAGTTTTCCAGTAAATTTCCTTCTTGCTTTTTAGGTATTTCTCTAGTGTAGAAAATTCCATATTTTCCTGTAATACAATATTAATACTTGCTGTGCGAAATACGTCCCCTGACAATGGCTGACACTGATCTGTGTACCTGTAATTCCTCTGTAGCTGCTGTCAGAAATTGAGGAGCACTTGACTTGCACTATATCACATGTAGAGCCTGACATAAAGGTGCCTTTGGATGAATTTGATGGAAAAGTAGTGTATGGACAACGGAGAGCTGCTGGTGGTAAGACTGATTTGTAGTTTTCATTTATCAAACTGTTGCATTCTATTACATATGAGGCTATTTTGTACGGTTATGTAAATGGTGTAATGTGGCATAACACAATTCAAAACATGTGCCTATAGGTCATATTGAAAACTGTGAGATGTATGTGGGACTTTTGGAAACAAAAATAAGCTTGACCCACTGACCCTAACACTTACTCGCCAAACCCTAAAACATAACTCCCTAAAGTAAACCTTAACATTGAACCTTGCTTCAGGCTTTTGCACTTAAAACTGAAGTTTAAATAAAAAATCAGCACAAAGGATATTGCTTACCTTTTTAGTGTGATGTGTCCCTCGTGCCGCTGTATCCTGGGTTAGCAGAAATCTTCTTCCTGCAGTGCCTCCCCATTATGCTGCTCTAACCTTCCGGTGCAACCGGGTTAATAGAACTGAGGCAGCTCTGACAGGCACTTATCAAAAGTGCTCATCTATGTCTGTCCTTTTCATCCAGCTGCTACATTCATAGAAGCCATTACTACAGCTTCTATGAATGAAACATGATCCATGAATGGAGGGCATGGATCTTTTAATCATCTGCCCATCCTCTATTCATAAATCACGTTTCATTCAAAAAAGCTGTAGTACTCTCTACGAATGGAGGAGCTGGGCGGAAAGGTTGGTCAAAGTCTGACACTTCTGGTGAGTAGTAGTGCACTCATTTAGGGGTCAATTGAGCTCTGCAGTGTCTGTCTGATTTGTTAAAAATATACACTGCTCAAAAAAAATTAAAGGGACACTTTTTAATCCGAGTATAGTATTAAGCCAATTAAAGTCCTGGGATATTGATCTGGTCAGTTAAGTAGCAGAGGGGGTTGTTAATCCATTTCAGCTGCTTTGGTGTTAATGAAATTAGCAGGTGCACTAGATGAGACAATGAGGCAACCCCCCTAGGTTTTACAGATTGAGGCCACTGACATTTTTCTCCCTACTAATCTATTCTGACTGTTTTTCACTAGTTTTGCATTTGGCTAGGGTCAGTGTCACTACTGGTAGCAGCATGAGGCGATACCTGGACCCTACAGAGGTTGCACAGACAGTCCAACTCTTCAAGGATGGCACATCAATACGTGCCATTGCTGTGTCTCCCAGCACAGACGCAAGAGCATGGAGGAGATTCTAGGAGACAGGCAGTTACTCTAGGAGAGCTGGATAGGGCCGTAGAAGGTCCTTAATCCATCAGCAGGACCGGTATCTGCTCCTTTTGTGCAAGGAGCAACAGGATGAGCACTGTCAGAGCCCTACAAAATGACCTCCAGCAGGCCATTGATGTGAATGTCTCTGACCAAACAATTAGAAACAGACTTCATGAGGGTGGCCTGTGCTGTGCTTCTAGTGGGCCCTGTGCTCACTGCCCAGCATCATAGAGCTCAATTCGCATTTGCCATTGAACATCAGAATTATCAGGTCTGCCATTGGCGCCCTGTGCTTTTCACAGATGAGAGCAGGTTCACCCTGAGCACATGAGACAGACGTGAAAGGGTCTGGAGAAGCCACGGATAACGTTATGCTGACTGTAACATCTTTCAGCATGACTGTTTTGGTGGGGGGTCAGTGATGGTCTGGGGAGGCATATCCATGGAGGGATGGACAGACCTCTACAGGCTAGACAATGGCACCCTGACTGCCATTAGATATCGGGATGAAATCCTTGGACCCATTGTCAGACCCTACGCTGGGGCAGTGGGTCTTGGGTTCCTCCTGGTGCACGCCAATGCCCGGCCTCGTGGCGAGAGTATGCAGGCAGTTCTTGGAGGATGAAGGAATTGATACCA